CTGTTAGTCAGGAAATGGGCAGTGAGGTGGATTGAATCGGATTGTGGTATAGAAGCTAGGCGTAGAGAAGAGAGAATACTTACCGGTACATTGACAATCTCATACCCACTCATATCGCCGTTGTAATGAAGACGATGCCATGTCTTTGCGCAGGTGACGCAAGGACAGAAGAAAGTGACAAGACCTACCATACTCGTCAATCCCATCCTCACTTCGACAAATGAGAAGAACTTACATAGTGGCAGGGGATTCAGGCAATCCTACAAACTGGTATTCCACGGCTTGGTCCGATTTATGTCTGCTTCAAACTCTTCTCTCGCTTCTGCAGTCCAGTCTATGAACTGTGCGCGGCAATAGTTTCCCCATTTCGCGAGATTGTCGCGTGTCTTTTGGAGTGATGGGTGGCTTGCTAGGCGGTCTGGCATTGTAGTGTGACAAGATAGCTTCAGCCACACTTTTCGAGTCTGCGGAACAAGACGGATTCGGTGCTAATTATGCTGATATCCGATGAGTGCGTGCACGAGGAATAGAGTGGTTGGCTGGTGGCGTGGGCAAGACGACGTTGATGACCAAAGAGAGCCTTGGATACAAGCAGATGCGTGAGGAAGTGATATTGACGGCACCTGCTTCGTAAGGCAAGAACGACAGTGTCAGTCGTCTTGCAAGAATGGTAATGACTGGAGAAAGAGCCACCGCCTAGCGAGGCCAAAATCGTCTCTCGGCCCCGAGTTGCCAATACCAGCATAGATCCTGAAGCATTTTGCAACACTACGTCAAGGGGAGAAACCAAACATCTCATTAGAGCAGAGTACTTCTTCCTACTACAACGAATTGTATTGCAGCTATATGAATATTTATAGAGAATCTAGAAGTCTACAATGCTGTTAGGCTATATAATCTCTATTGTTAGGAGCTAATGTAATCTGTAAGGTAGAGCTTGTTACCTTCACCTGTTCGATTTTTCTCTTGTATGGGGTGCAATGTCTTGGGCGATGGACGAAAGTTGAGATAAATGGCTGAAAATGACTAGGCCACATCATGTGAATCGCATGATACTCGCCAGCCTAGAGCTACCATCTTCAACATCACAGCAAATAGAGGATAGAGTTGCAAGTATGAAATCGCATGCATTGTACAGGCTACGCATGTTGGCAGCCCGCACTAGTCTATGTAACTAATCATCTGCTGGAAACTATACTTTTATCAGATTCCTTCCACCCAAGTCACTGGGTCAGGTCCGCACATGTGCCTGCAAACCAGAAAGAGCTTTTAAATCCCACCGCCGAGCAGGCCTTGGAAAGACAGCCACCATGATGGTTACCACAAAGAACCGGGGTATCTTCCTTCGTACAAAGGTTGGGTCGTGGATAGACCTTCATGAACGCCATCTATGCAGGAAACTTTTTCGTCGTCCAAAACAAGGTCATGCTGCTACTCTCCGCGTGTGGAGAGACTGAGCGACGCAAGGACGACGAGAAAGGCGTTGTCGCCGAGGGGTATGACCGGGAAAAAGGAATCGCTTTTGTCGTAAAATAAGGAAATGCTCAGAGGTCATCCGCGTGTGGACGACTCGGAAAGCGAGAATCTATGGCTCCCCAAGCAGCATGCTTGCAGAAGAGCGAAGTCGTGAAATGTTCGTAATGCATGCCTTTCCGGGAAAGACGAGAGTCCTGCCATCTATGTTCGAGCTCGACAAATGTGCGTCGAAGGGTATCGTATGCGAGAAGAGCTCGAAAAACAGGCAGATCCGCAAAAAAACAGTCGCTGTCTATATGCTGGTTGGGGTATGAGATTCCTGATTTCCGCATCGATCCGCGGTAACCGGGAAGGAGTCGCAGAAAACATTCGAGAGTAAAGAAAATCGAAAGCAAGCCATCGGTAGCAGCGACACGAAGGCCCAGGGTATCGTAGAGAAGAAAATGTATCCCGGGCTGGCTACATCGTGAAGCGGTGCGATGCACGTTTACCACCAGGAGTTGCCGCCAGGGCCGGATGGGTTGCCGTAGCCTCCACCAAAGCCACCACCGCCGCCAGAGTAGCCACCAGGAGCTGGAGGAGCGTAGCCGCCGCCGGGAGCGCCGCCGTAACCACCTCCGTAGCCGCCTTGAGGAGCACCACCCCACTGACCGCCACCACCGAAACCACCACCGCCGCCCATACGACGAACGTCACGGGTAGCAGCGTTGCCACGGCCACGGCCGCCTCCGCGTCCACCACGGCCTCCACCGAAGCCGGAGCCTTCGCGGGCAATGGACTCGAGGAATCCAGGGACTTCCTGGTTGGCCTCCTTCAACAGGTCAAGGAGATCGCGTACGACTCCGCGGTTGCCGCGGTTGAAGAAAGCAGTGGCAATACCAGTGTTTCCCGCACGTCCAGTACGACCGATACGGTGAACGTAATCGTCAATATCGGTGGGCAGGTCATAGTTGACGACGTGGGTCACATTGGGGATATCGAGACCTCGGGCAGCTACAGCAGTAGCGACAAGGATGGGGCAACGTCCGTTTCGGAACATCTCCAGAGCCTTCTCACGCTCGCGCTGAGTACGGTCGCCGTGAATGGAGGTGGCGGGGAAGCCTTGGTTGATAAGGAAGTCCGACAAGGAGTCGGCCATACGCTTGGTCTCAACGAAGATCAAGGTAAGACCAGCACCATGAGTGTGAAGGATATCCAGGAGGACAGAACGCTTGTCAACGTCCTCGACGTACTCAATCTTCTGGGTAATGTTCTCAGAAGTAGAACCGACACGACCGACCGAAAGGAAGATGTAGTCCTTCAAGAAGTCGCGGGCAAGCATCTGAATGTCGCGGGGGAAAGTGGCCGAGAACATGAGTGTCTGGCGGGCAGCGGTAGGAGGCATGTCCTCGCCCTCAACAATGCGGCGAATTTGAGGCTCGAAACCCATGTCCAACATGCGGTCAGCCTCGTCAAGAACCAGGTACTTGATGCTAGCGAGGGAGATACGGCCGCGCTCGATCAAGTCGACCAGACGACCAGGAGTAGCGACGAGAAGATCACAGCCGCGCTCGATCTGGCGAAGCTGGGAACCAATGTCGGCACCACCGTAAACGACACAAGGGCGGACCCACGAGCGGTAGGCGAACTTGCGGGCCTCGTCGAAAATTTGGGAGACCAACTCACGGGTAGGAGCAAGGACAAGCGAGGTGGGGTAAGCCTTGCGTTGACGTCCATAGCCACCCTGAGCCGTTGCGGGAGGAGGAGAAGGACCGTTCTTGAAAGCCTGGGCAAGAATAGGGAAGAGGAAACCACCAGTCTTTCCGGAACCGGTCTGGGCACAAGCCATGAGATCACGGCCACCCATGACGATAGGGATGGAGTACTTCTGGACTGGTGTGGGGACCTTGTATCCGGAGAGCTCGATGTTGCTTAGCAGGTGGTCGTCGAGAGGCGGGTTTGTGAAACGTGTGACGGGTTCGGGAACACCCTGACCAGAGGCCTCAACGGGGATGTCATCGTACTTCTCGAAGTTGATACCGGTGTGCTGCTTGGAGGGGTCGTTGGGCATGCCAAAGAGATCGCGCTCAAGACGCTGGTTGGGCGGGCCAGGGACGTGCTTGCCGTCCTTCCAGGCACCGTCACCAGATCCGCGAGCACCTCCAGAGCCGCCACCACCAGGCTTGCCGTAAGCGTTGGGGTCAAAGTTGCCGCGAGGGGCACCGCCCCATCCACCACCTGGGGGACCGTCGCGACCGCGGGGAGTGAAGTTGGGTGCGTTGGCCCAGCCACCGGCACCACCGCCGCCGTTCATCTGAGGGGGAGGACCCTGACTGTCACCCGTTAGCATACCTTCCTGTTTTGTGTCTTGGGTATTGACTGACCCTCCTGGTCCCCAAGCGCTGCCACCGAGACCGCCGCCGCCGTTCATCATCGGGGGCGGGCCGTCCATAGGTGCAGGGCCGCCCTGGGGACGACCGCGAAGGTGGGGAGGGATGTAGGCAGAACGCTCGCCGTTGAAGCCGTTCTGGTTGTTGTGCTGGGACTCATTTATGTTGAGACGACCCATGTCGAGTTGGTCAGCCATGATGGGCGTGGTTGAGTTGAGTAGGCTGAAGGTGTGGTTGTGTATATAAGACGAGGGCAATATGCAAGTCGCAAATTACTGTTTTACTGGCTTCGGCTGGCTCGGCGGTGAGCGACAGACGAAAGAAAGCAGGTCTAAGTGACGAAACTCGTAACTCGCAGGCGGGTGCCTGAGACTCGTTCTGTCAGGAAAGAAGGGAACGCCTCTGTCCTGGAAAACGAGAAGTAAAGAAGTGAAGACCAAAAGAAAGGACTTCACAGAAAATGTGCTTGTAGGGTTGTGTAATACACACAGAATAGTTTTGAGGGTGGGTGGTTAGGGAAGAGGGAGAACGCAGCAGGTAAGTTAAAAAAGCGTGTCGGAGAACCCTTCCCGCACTAGACCCTGTGTGGCGCTAGCGCTCCCTCTCAGAGTTCTCAAGCTGTGGCGAGTGGGGAGCGGTGAACGTCACATATGGATCCTGTCGTGTGCTGCAGCCGGCTTGCTTTTCATGCGACATGCACTGTGACATGGCCTCGGTGGATGTAGTGGCGGCTTTGCCTGGCTCTTGTGCAGGTTCCAGGCCAGTTTGTGCAACAGTGCCATGCGTCCTGATAACCCAACAGAATACTTTCGTTTTTACTAGCCACCATGTGCCTGGACCGTAATACATCATTGTCCGTGGGTAATGCAGGGACTACAAGTACTCCGTATCCTCCCTCTTCACCCTAGCTAGCGCCTTGACGTATTGGAGCGTTGGCACTAGGAGGAAAGAGTCTGTGTTGCACTAATACGCTTTGTTAACATACCCTGGAGGAATTCGCAGCCTCGCACTTTTACAGGCCAGCAAGACAGGGGTTGATGCGTGCCTCTAGTCGTGGTAGTATGGTGCAATGACTTCATTCATCCTTTATCCTTATGTTCATCATGTAGCGCAATCACAGTCTACTAAATGAACGTTTCTGCATTTCATCGTTATCTAGGCCATGCTCTTCTCCTTGAGCCCACCCACAATGTTACTTTGCCCACCATTTCGCGACTTCAAGAAAAGCACACAGATTGCGACGATAGCCCCAACAAAGAAAAACTTCTGGCCCATTGACAGTCCATCAGCGGAACCAGTGGCAACGGCCATACCAGGGAGCTTGGGCTTGGTGGTAGAGGCCTGGGTGACCTCAGCAATGTTGACGATATCCTCTTTGGATGGTGTTGCTGCAGTGATATCGAGTTCGTCGCCAGGAATGGCAGGTTCAGCAGCTCCGTATAGATCTTGAAGAAAGGGCACAACTATCAGCAGCTCTCCAACCTGAGGGGTCGACCCAATAGCAAAGAATGCGTACTGATGTCTAGAGTTCCGCGTGAATACCTTCCTCTGGCACCTCGAGCTCTCCGCTCTTGGCGATCTTGACGGTCTGGGCCGGCTTGTCTCCAGGTCCCTTCTTCACGTTCTCAATCTTCTCCACAACATCGTAGCCCTCGAGGACCTCTCCGAAAACGACGTGGCGGCCATCGAGCCAGCTGGTGACGACGGTGGTGATGAAGAACTGAGAGCCGTTGGTGTCCTAGATCATCCATGTACGGTCAGTGCATGTTTCAAGTGCAGTTCATACATTGTGTCTCTTACCTTTCCGCTGTTGGCCATGCTGAGAAGACCCTTGCGGGTGTGCTTGAGCTTGAAGTTCTCATCGGGGAACTTAGCCCCATAGATACTCTTTCCACCAGTGCCATCACCTAATCGTTGTCAGTGTGTGGATTGCGGGGCTCGATTCATCTTAACATACCCTTGGTGAAGTCTAAAACAGAGTTAGCATTGCAAATCCCTTAGAGATGTACTAAGAATTGTACTTACCACCACCCTGGATCATGAAGTTGCTGATAACGCGGTGGAAAGTAGAGCCCTCGTAACCGAAGCCCTTCTCGCCGGTAGCCAGAGCGCTATCACATTTGTTAGATCCCGAAGCTGTACACAAGTTTGTACGGGGTCGTACCGGAAGTTCTCGGCGGTCTTGGGGACAGTCTTGCCGTAAAGGCCAATGGTGATGCGGCCTAGCTCTTCATCACCATGGGTGATGTCGAAGTACACCTGTGGAAGTTAGCAAGACCGACCACATGTCAATTGTGAGCTATGCGCACCTTGTGGGTGATCTTGGGTCCCTTAGCAGCCTCAGTGCTCTGAGCAAAGAAGACAAAGGTGATCGAGAGGATCAAGAGGAGCGAAATGACGGCTCGTTGGAAAGTAGCCATGATGCCTGATTGTGTTGGGAAACAACCAAGGGAAGTCACAGAGTTAAATAGTTTGGAGAGCCCCCTGCTTGAGTGCAATGGTGGAGAGGTGTTGAAACGTTGCGTTTTACCTAGGTAGAGAGCTGGACTGCCCGCACCGTCGCACTAGCACTTGTTGGGGTTAGTGAGAAACGGAAGTCTGGAGATTCGAGATCAGACAAGACAATTGACACTCCAACACGCGAACTCGCCGTCGGAACGCTGATCCGCCATGGTACGCTACTAGACCGCCTAATTCTTCTCGCGTGTAACTCACTGACGGTTTCAGGTGTTCATCAACGGCTTCAGCTTCACGGAAGCGACGCTCGTCAAGCGGTCCCTCGAATCCTTCTTCGGCATCGGGCCCTCGGTCTCGCAGCGCATCATGGCGAAATTCTACATCCACCCGTGGGCGAAAGTCGGCAGTCTGAAAAATGCGACAGTCATGGATCTAACGGCCGAGCTGGCGAACATGAAGATTGAGAACGATTTGCGGCGGCAGGTGCAGGACGATATTCGGAGATTGAGGGATATGGGCACATATCGTGGAAGAAGGCATGCTATGGGTTTGCCTGTGAGGGGTCAGAGAACAAGGACACAGGTACGTTCAATCCTAGTGGCGGGGCTACGATTGTGGTGGGCATATGGGCTAATGGTCATAGATTGCAACTGCACGACGGTTGAACAAGATGGAACGAGGCGGTACAGGAAGAGTGGGATTGTAAGGTGGAAGGAAGCATACATACGAGTGTATAATATTGTACAGTATGCGGGCATAAAATGTTGTCCACGATACACGTTTGAAGAGAATATACAGCACGTTAACGACTCAACATTACTCTAGTTACCATAGGGTACATCTTGATCTCCACACAGAGAGCGGGACCATGTTTCGACGATAAACATCTATAAGGACTGGCCATGGGAAATCTCTCGCAGAACTAGGCTGTCATTCATCGTTCAGAATTTGCAATCTACAAAGCCCCTTGCCTTGGTTCAAAATTCTTCGAAACATGTTTGGAGTAATGACAGTAGCAAGCAGAAGACTGACAAACATGTTAATCGAAAGTGATGTCCACGAAGGAGCTGGTTTTTGATAGACTGTACCTACTGTTGAGGATATACCATAAGAGCTTACACAGTAATCTGCCTTGAAGCTCGAACAGTAGAACAAGAATGTAGAACTCTGGGGTAAGGCCTGTTGCCCTGGAATACCGGCTAGTCGTAGGCCACAGTATCCGTCATGGTGCTGTCAAGGCCGGTGCGGAACATCAGGACATTGGCAGTCTCATTCATGTCACAACATAAACCCAAAATCAGATGCTTCCTCCTGATCTAGTCTATGGCATCTAACTAGTCATCACGATTTTTATAACCATGCAGATTGTGGGCTTCCTTGCAGACATAGTGGCCATGGACCTGGGGCCCAATGCTGCGATAACGGCATTATATGTCTGCTCAACATATTACCTTGTTTTGCAAGCATGGCGACTGTGCACCGTTGGTGTCGAAATAGCATACCTACCAAAAAGCGAGTAGTCAATCAAACCAGCTTCTGTATTCGGAAGGATATACTGCTAATATCTACTCAGAAACTCTAATCCAGCTTATGCACGGTGTACTCTACATCGACCAACCACTTAGTTACCATTTAGTCAGCGTACCTTTCCTGCCCGCACATTGGAATGAATGTCACGAAGACCGGGTACGTCATGCCAGACAAAGATTCGTTGCTCATACAAAGACCGAATCGAATCTCGACACTTTCTTGACGACCTTGAAAGCAGTGTCTGAAAGCGGGCGGACGTGCTTCCGCGCTGGGCGGAAGCCGAAACGTTTTGAGGGAGTTATCATGGACGTTTACCCGCCATGCAAGGGTTAGTCATGCTAGGATACCCAAGCAGCATCTGCTCTATGGCGCAGACAATCTCTAAGTTCCGATAGGCGTTATTGACGTCCAGCTTGGCAATGTCTCTCCAACCGGCCTATTTTCCTCCACGTTTGACGGCGGGAACTGTAGGCCTGGGCGGTAACGAAGCGGTCGGACGGGAGCTTGCAAGCCGAACGGAAGCTCTCACATGCATGCATATGCATTGATACCGCCAAAGGCGATTACTGTTTGTAGCAAAGACAGGATTCATCAACCACTTCTGTGTGTGAGCATGGTAGAAAAGTCTATGTTTGCCTCTACCCAGAATCGGTGTCAATCTACCTAAGCTTGGATGGTTTGTTTTCCGCAAGGAAGCAAAGTGCGGAAGTACAGTGGTGAAGATCACAATACTTCGGCGTTGCCTTTCGGAACTTTGATATGCGAAGTATAATTAGACATGGGGAGGGCTTGCAGATTGACGCAACCCGCGTGGAAACAGCTGTCCCGGATCATGCTCGCCACCTCTCTGGGATCGCGTCTGCCTCAGGTTGACCCTGCATACGTTGGGGGTGTGAATGCTGTCGAAAGATGAACGGTGCTCGAGGCGCGAAGAAGAGCTGCTCGCGCCGCGCATCGTTAGTCGTACAAATGATGATATTCGTTCCAGATTTCGGTCACACTTCATCTTGACGGCACGTTGCGGGTACTAGTGCAGAAACAGAAAAACAAAAGCCGTTTCTTGGCCTCTTCCACTCGAGTTACCCCTGATACAGTGTCGCAAAGAAGGATTGTTAGTCTAGCCCTTGGCTTAGTCGTGCAGCATAGGTGCAGCTTGTGATCACCATGCGTCGACTGTTAAGGGCTAGTCGTTGAGCTATCAGCGGCTCCCTGCAGCACACTTCGCTTGACGGCGGATGAGTTTCAGATGTAATCGCAGGTCGGTAAGAATCGTACGATTTTGATGAGCGTCTCAAGCGACTGTGTTTGCTGTTGAGATACTCGAATATCCAGCCGCGGTGCAAAGCGGATGACCTGGGCGCTTTTGCTGACCATGGCACACGGACAGCGTTCGTCTTTGAAAGTTTATGACTTGCGGCTGATTCAGCCACGAGGGATTGGGCCAATGGCAGCTGATCGACAGGCCTAATCTCGATTCGGCCTGGAGAATCCTTCTCGCTGCAGCGACCCAGCCCTTGAACTCGAACGCTATCCGTGCGCCAGAGACATGATTACGACCCGTGGACCCAATTGACGGCCAGATGTCTGGCGGAAATGCACCTTCGAGTCTACCATGAATCGCAAATTACTGAGCCGTCGAGCCAATACACCCTCAAGACTCGTATGTCAAATCATCTACTTTCCAGCCAATGGGTGGGTATTTTGCAAAATTCGGCTCGTCAGGCTTCTGTCAGCTTGACTGCGGGCACCAGCGACAGCAGACCACGCGGACATGTCGTTTCTGCATAAGACCGTCAGTGGATGATGGCTCATCGATGATTACGGCTAGCAAGCCACAGGGCTAGACCAATGGGAAGCCCAAAGCACACTTTTGGCGCCTACACCGGCATGTAGTCGACTAGGATGCAAATGGCTTTGGGCATATCTCAAACGTGAGGGGACGCAGCCATCAAGGCCTACGGAGGCGATCATGGAGACAAAGGGCTCCAGGGCTCGCTTCTGCTGCAGGAACCAGGCTTGAATTTGGCCCGGCTCCTACAAGGGCGGTTATGGCGCCGAATGAGAATCCACCAGTCTACAAGCCCAAATCTCTTCTGTTCCGGCTGCTCCTTCTGACGGAGACTTGTCTCAAGCTGCGCGGGACGCCCAGATGCTGACGAGACTGCTGAGCGTGGCAGTTTTGGATTCACCAGACACTCAGAGCGTCACCGAAACACTAATCCCCACTAACTATCTGCTATACTGTCGACCAGATATCCCGGTCGTCGGCTAGCCCGTTTGAGACTTGAACATGGCGGCGACGAATACAGACATGCATATGCTTCAGGAAAGACCAGCGGCACATCACATCCCTCAGCACCAGCCGTCGTCGCCTTCCCACTCTCTATCCTCGCCGTCGCTCGTCGAGAGTATTCGCAGCCTTCGCGACGATTCGACGCGCCCACACAACGTGCCGGCCACTGCGGACGAGCAACACCAAATCCGAGCACGTCGCAAGCCCGTCCCGAGTCCGCTGTACCCAGCTGGCAATAACGGGCTCTCATATCAGCAGTTGTCCTATCAAGACTCACCACGCTTTGACGAACCGCGCAGTCCGCGCGAGAAGCTTGACGCATTGCTTGCGGAGGAGCAACATCATACCTCGCCCATTCGCCCAACCAAGCCAGCGCATCCGCCTACACCACCCAACTTTCCCGCCCCAAATTTCACGCAGCCTTCGAGGCCGTCTGCGTATGCAAAACTCCGGCAGGTGTCGTCACCCACGCTGTCCTCGGCTGGAATTTCCCCACCAGCGTCACCCGTCACCATGCCTCCACCATCGCGGCCGAACCGACCTGAGACGAGACCGACGGTGCCTGTCCGCAACCCTTCAATAGATTCAGCAGCATCGTCGCTATCTTCGACTGCCTCTCAGAACCGCCCTCCTGCCAACCATGCGACGCGACCGTCGCAAGATACGAGCACGGCGAACCCACCAGATATGGCCGCTCTGATAGCCACAGCAGGCTCACCAGAGGCTGCGATGCTGGCGTTGTGGAAGGAGAAGCAGAACACATCCAGTCACAATGCGCAGCTCTGGCGGCTGGTCGAGAAGCAACGGTCCATGATCATTGGGCTGCAGAAAGATCTCGAGCGCGCATTGAAGGACAAGGACCGCTACCGCAGGAAGTTCAAGGAGTATGCTGAACAGGTACCACCAGGTCCTGGCTCACTACAGAAGTCCGACACTTTCGACTCGGTCGTGGAACGCGAGACTAGCCAGTCGCCAGCCCTCAGTGAGCCAGCTGGCGAGCCCGCTAGGCCCAGCGACTCCAAAGCCGGGGAGCACAAGACATCGCCCTTGACACAAGAGCACCCCGCGCCACATCTCATACCAGACTCGCAATTAGCGACCTCCCCGTCTCATTCTACCGCATCGAATCTGTCGTCAGCCGTGAACTCGCCCACCGACTATTCCGTACAACCCCTTAGCCTTGGTAGCAAAGGTCTCGGCCTCGACGCCACCTTGCTGCAGCCCGGTGATGCTGTTCAACCTCCAGAACAGGCCTCGAAGCCGACTACGCCTCCCCAGAATAACTCAGATGTGACGATAGTCCCAAGTGATTCACAGCTCCAGCCTCCACAGATATCGCTGATCCAGGCCACGCCTGTCATTGGTGGTGACGGTTTCGAATCACCTCCTAGAAAGACTCCACAACCTCTGCGCAAGGCCCCGCCAGCTCCGCTCAACCTCTCGAAACCCATTACGACTAGCGCACATCTCCACCAAGCTGTGCACGGCGACGATGTTGATTCAGACTACGATGATACATTGGAAGTGGACGAGATACCTGTTGTGGAGCTGCGGGGAAGGAGGAAGACTCGGGAGGAAGATGATCGAGTCCGCGAAGCTATGTATTCGAAAGACGAGGAAGCTAGAAGCAAGTCGAAGAAGAAGAAAAGCGAAAGCAAGAGCAAACAACAAGCGACGCCATCTGAAACACCAGCAGGCGATCAACCTCAGGCGGTCCCGGTTCCCCTTTCGCCGCGTCAGTTCAATGCGCTGCAATCAGGCCTTCCACTCTCTCCCCGTCACCCACCTGCCAACTCTCTAAATGCTCTTCTCAGCCCTGCCAACTCGGATAGTTCTATGATGGCCAACCGGAGTGTTGCATCGCCACTCATGAGTCCAGGACTTCCTTCCAGCCCCAGACCTACTGATAGGCCACTAGGGTCACCATTACCAAGAAACCCTAAGCAGTCGATAGCATCACCGCCCATGTCGCCAACTACCACCAGTCAATCAGCTGGACGGCCGGTACAGCAACAAGTTCCTCTCCCGCCAAACACACCTCAGTCTTACCAGTCACCTCCAGTCAACCAGAGTCAACATTCTAATCAGCTCCGCAAAGAGTCGTCTACAGGCCTCTTGACAGTACCAGGTGCGCAACCTAGTCCAGAATCGCCATCAAGTAGCCCTACCTTGAACGATGTTCCGGATGCAGAGCATGTCTATCGTGGACTCGTCTCTGATCAGTACCCTGGACTCTTGCTCCCTCCCAACGCACTACCTTCTATTCAAGTCAAGGTCTTCTCGTCCCGCCTTCGGCCGTCACGTATGAGCATGCTAGCTCCTAAACCACAGGAGGAGGACCCTGTCTTCATTCTCGCCGTCTACGCTCGTTCAGACAACAAACAGCTATGGCGTGTGGAGAAAACGATTGCCACGCTACCCTCTCTAGACTCTCAGCTGAGGTCCATGTGCGATTTCCAGGGACAACTCCCAGATCGTGGTCTTTTCGGGGGTCATGCTCCTGCCAAGATTGATGCTCGAAGGGTCGCGCTGAACCAATATTTCGATACTGTTCTAGAAACCCCTATGAACGAAAAGACAGCCTTGATTGTGTGCGAATATCTTTCCACTGATGTCATTGGCGCACAAGCTGGTGACAGACTGGCCCCCGAGCCCACACCGGGTCCAACGGTGTCTGTTCAGAGGACGCAGCGCAAGGTCGGTTACCTTACTAAGCGTGGCAAGAACTTCGGGGGCTGGAAGGCACGTTTCTTCGTTCTGGACGGCTCAGAGTTTAGGTACTTCGAGGGCGAAGGTGGTGCGCATCTGGGAACGATCAAGTTGCAGAATGCACAAATTGGGAAACAGTCACAACAGCAGTCAAACCAATCGCCACAACGAAAGGATGACTCCGAGGACAATCAATATCGACATGCCTTCCTCATTTTGGAACCAAAGCGGAAAGACTCGACAAGCTTAGTTCGCCATGTGCTGTGTGCAGAGAACGATGAAGAGCGAGATGCTTGGGTTGAGGCGCTTTTGCAGCACGTCGACATACCAGATGAAACTTCACCAATCGAGATTCGCGTCCCCTCTGCCACACGTCTACAAAAGCAACAGGCCAGTCAAGACTCAACGCGCTCGCAGCGGAGAGACAGCCCTGATGTGGCAGAGCAAGATCGCTTACAAGGCCTCAGCTATGATGACGCCGTTCAAGCTCAAGCGCCTGTTCGCGGTCCCAACCACCGAGACATGATGGTGGAAAAGGCTTCACGAGGCTCCCCCAAGGAATCATCCTTCCACCAAGACAACTCAGGTCACTATCCTGCCATCTCTGGACCCAGCAATGGAACCCCAATCAAGGACTCTGAAAGCTGGGGCAGCAAGCTAATGGCGGGACCCACGGCAGTCAAGGATAAGAAACGCAGCATATTCGGCTTCAGAGGTCGCGGCGGTTCTTCCGACCTTGCGCCAGTACAAATCAGCACCCCACTGCAGTCAACCACGGAACATCGTCTACCCCCGGGCCGCAGTGTTTTTGGCATCCCACTTATGGAAGCTGTAGAGTTCACACAGCCTGATGGAGTCAATGTGGCGATACCAGCTGTCGTTTACAGGTGCTTGGAATACCTCCGAGCAAAGAAGGCGATTAGCGAAGAAGGCATCTTCAGGCTTAGTGGGTCGAACATTGTCATCAAGGGCCTACGCGATCGATTCAACAACGAAGGCGATATCAAGCTGCTGGACGGGCAATACTACGATGTTCACGCTGTTGCGTCGTTACTGAAGTTGTACTTGCGGGAACTACCGGCCTCTGTTCTAACTCGGGAACTGCATCTTGATTTCCTCAAGGTTCTCGGTAAGTATTTGGCCTTGAAATTGATGAAAATAGATAGTTCGCTAACACATCGTAGACATGGACGAGCGTAGCAAGAAGATTCAGAGCTTCAACGTTCTTGTACACAAACTCCCTAGGCCCAACTTCGAGCTGTTGCGACACCTCGCATCGTTCCTGATTGAGATTGTGGACAACTCGGGAGTGAACAAGATGACAGTGCGAAACGTCGGCATAGTGTTTGCACCAACTCTGAACATCCCAGCTCCGTTGATATCTTTCTTTCTTACTGATTATACCGACATTTTTGGTGCTGCTCTTGACGAAGCCAGCTCTCCGATCCATGAGATTCGGAATAACACGTCACATTTAGGTGACGATGCTATTCGATCCCCAAGGAGGCAGATGTTTTCTGATCTCCCAACGCCTGCGTACAACGAGACAACGTTCCAGCAGCGTATGGATCGACCGCCTCAAGGCTACCAAGGAAACAGCGCTCCCAACTATCCACCTCCGCAACCTCCACAGCAATATCAGCAACAGCAACAGCAGCAATACAGTAACCAACAACAGCAGGGTCAATATAGTGGCTACGACTCAGGCTTCATTCCGATGCGCCCCAGCTACGACACCCCAGCCTACGATCAACCTTACAATTCTGGAGAGGGCTACGGTAGCTTGAATGGAGTGGTACAGTCGAGTGGAGCGCGCGAACAACGGCAACGAAAACGAGAGAGTGGCATGCTCCTCATGAACATGGGCATGGGTGGCCAACGCAAAGGCTCGGGTGGACCGAACGCGCAACAACGCGGAGATGGACGATACGATCCACGAATGTACTCGCAAAACAACACGCCCAACCCCCTAATGGTACGAGAAGAAACGGCATTCGACTGAGTTGAAGCAAGCCTCGGACTCGGACTAGGCCGGCGAACAACGAACAACGATACATGAAGGGATGTGTATACCAAGATTTGTGTTTAATTTTTGGATTCCTAATTCAGGACCACGGACTGGATCTTTGGTTTTACTTTGGGCTTGGTTTGGTTCTTCCTTTGTTTTTCCTGCGCGTGTCTTGTAACGGAGATATTTTCCCCAGCGATACCAGGCGTTTTTATGGACAGGGAAAGCAAACAAACGACTCGCGAGGAGTTGTGTGTCTGCTTTTTCTCTGTGTTGCATACCCCATCGCCCTCTTCGGATTGTTTGTGCGGCAGCTTGGCTTTGGCTTTAGCGTGGCGCTTTTTTGCGATGTGTTTTTGGTTTCTACCTTCGCTGAGATATCCTGGTTACTTTTTTGTTACATGTTTGGCGTGGACATGCTAGATGAGGATTCTTGTATTGGGCATCTGAGCGGCTGGTTGGCTATGCAAGTAGAGTATCTAGCTACTACCGATGGAAAACGAATTGAATCTTGCAAGGACGTTTGAAGTCATGGTGTTTGTGTCGTTGCGATGAAGTCTGTCTGCAAACGTGTGAGGTTCGTGATGGGATGGCGTCGAGCGACATGCGTTGGTTCGGGGGGCTAGCGGCTGAGCTTGGGCGTCGAGGCGCATTCGGGACATGGCCGCATCTTCCTCCTTTGCGATTGACGTATTTGCTTGTTTGAGACACAAGTCTGGCGGCACAGGGATAGCAAGCCAGGTCGCGAGCTCAGGCGTCATAGGGCCAATCCCATCCCACAGCGCAACCAGCACAGGCACGACTAGTGGAACCAGACACAGAGCACCCAGAGCTAATCCCCGGATCGCGTCACAGTCATGGACGACAAGCCTCTGCCTCTGCGCGCCGACGAGCCCGACTCTCGAAACAGCCTACGACACATTCTGGCCGCAGACCCCCAAATGGACGACTCCAAGCCCGACGCATCCCAAGCAAACACGCCCGTCCCCGACGAGAGCGAAGCGGGCGGCGATGCGCCAGATGCCTCGCGCCCAGCCAACGACAACGACCCTGCCCGGCCCTACTACACGGCCACGACGACGACGACGCGCCGCAATGCCAACGGGAGCGTGTCGTCCGTCTACAGCGGGAACAAGATCAAGCACCTCAAGAAGGACGATGGCATTCCCCTGTGGCGCAAGGACATCCAGTTCGACTTCCTCAAGCTCGTCTTCGAGGACGACAAGCGCGTCTTCACCAAGCAGTCGGACAGCACCAGCGGACACACCTTTGCCGACATCTACCTCGATGCCATGGCCAAGAGCAGCAAGTGCAGCAAGATCCTCAAGGACAAGCTTCTGACCGAGCGCCCGGCTGCCATCAACATGGCCATGGTGTGTCTGCTCGTCAACGTCGGCCGCATGAACACCACCCTCAACTGTAGGCCACATGTGCGACTCTTGACACCTCTCCTCTAACACGTCACAGTCTTCCCCGAGATGCGCGCCCAGCTACGGACCTACCACTCCATCCCCTCCCTCCAAGCCCACCAAGACCCCAACGCCTACAAACAGCTGCAGGATGCGCCGCGCTTAAAGTCCATCCTCAAGGGCGCAACTGAGGACCAAGAGCAGCCCAGCACCATCGAGGAGATCATGGCAGCTTCCATCCCGCGCACCAATCCCGTCAACCTCATCTTTGTCCTGTCGCAATACGCGCCCAAGATCTCGGAGTTGCACTTCTTCCCGCCTCGCGATTTCTTCGACCTCGTCATGCGCTCTAACCTGAGCAGCAAGAGCAGAGCCACAGCCTTCCTGTGGCTCATGTGGTGGTATCTCGAGAGCGACTTCACCAAGGAAGCCGCCGAGAAGAATCCCTTTGGCCCTGGCCAGATGGGACCCGCCGACGACCCGACTACAGCCGAGTTTCCCATCAAGTGTCCGCCTTTCGAGATACTTTCGCCCGAGCAAGAGGCCCTAGAGAACGTCGATTCGGTCGAAGAGAAGACATTTGGTGAGATTAAGCGCAAAGAGAGGACTGCTATATTGGCAAGCGACATGGCGCCCGTCGTCACAGGCCCCAAACGGACTAACAAAAAGGGTGAGCACTCCAACCAGCATGCGTTTCGCCCCACGTCGGACCAATTCTAACATTTCTCAAGGCTTCAATCAAAACCCCGTCTTCTCAATAGCCGCCGATGACGGTGCTTCGACACCTGGGCGTGACAGACAGTCGCCATCCCATGGTAAGTTCATAGATTTGACTCCTGAGGCGGTACTCTTCTAACGTCAACAGGCTCTGCACGAGGACGTGGCAAGCTTGCCAAATCCATCATCGAACGAGATTACCCCTCAGACACCGACCGAACCCGCTCAGCATCACCTCCTAACAGCGTCTACAATACAGCGAAGAAGGTGGCTACGCCCAACATGCGCATAAATACCCTCCTTAACGAAGACGGCCCCGCTTCATCTCCCGCAGCCAAGGGCCCTGGCCGCGGGAACTGGTCCCGCAACCGCACATCAGGGATAGGCGCCGGAGGAACACCAGCAGCACGAAGCTTCAAGACCAAACTCGACGCACCAACCTCGCAAGACGGCCAGTCCCCCTCTACATCTGCGCCCACCTTCAACGGCCCACACGGCTTCTACCTCCCACTCAACGGCTCCGATCCGTCGCACAAACGAACCCGTCCCCTCACACAACACCAACTCGCCGTCGAGCAATACCGACGACGGCGCGTAGACGTCATCCTCGACCGCGGAATTCGCATCGAATACGCCGCCGCCGCAAAACGCCGTCGCAAAGCCAACCCCTTCATACGCAGCTGGATCCGCTGCAAAGGCATGGCAGATGGCTACGATACAGACGAAGAATCGCATGCGCAATACGCCCAACTCTCCGACTACGAACTCGGTACCAAGACCCCGCCACCCATGCCCTCTGGTCTCGTTCCCTTGGATTTTGGCGGCGAAGTCAACGACCACGGCGAGGAATCTTACTACCGCGCCAAGATGCTTAGTAGGGCGCTGCGTCGTCTAGATCGCTGGGAAGGAGGTGGAAAGAGTGGGTCTAGAAGGAGGCTCAAGGGGGAGAGGGGCAGTGGGCTACCAGACGTTAATGAAGGGCGACCTGTTATCGGCAGTGAAGATGAGGATGACGAGGACGAGGATGGCGACTTGATGGATGTGGATGAGATGGAGAGGAGGGAGGCGTTAGAGGATGAGAGTGCTGAGGATAGCGATGACGATGTTGATATGGAGGGTGAGAGGAGGTGGGATTCTAATACCCTTCCACCTTTGCCTAGGATGGCGTAGATTATTATGTGGGTCTCTTGGGCTGTTCCAGTCTTGGTTTCTTATTCTTTTTGCAGGACGAGGAGATTTCGTGTATCAATATGTTGGATTGGGAAGCATGGCGTTATGTGTGACATGTATGGCTGTCGGAGGATTTTTCACCAGCAAAATAGAATGTTTTACCCGGTGTGTTTTGTTTGTTATGACATTCTTTCTGGAGCTCGTTTATGAGAGAGAAAGAACGGACCATAGTATCTTATGGTTTCATTCGTGGCTGTAGTGTTTTATATACATCGACAACCTCGAACAAAGAGTACTGGGCTAGTAGAATTGGAGTTGGCATCAATCAAGCACGTGATGCTTGATCCGTTGATTGCGCTGTTTGATACCCTGTTGACTGGTGGCAAGATACTGTTAAGGCGAGGATCGGGAGCAGAGAGCACGAAACATGGTGTTGCTAGTATGCTTCACTTCGATCATTCCCTTATCTCCTAGATCACAATATATATCACGCAAGACTGGAGGTTCAGCTAGGTAAGCATGCAGCAAATCAATTTTACTACGCTAGGACTAAAGCCAAACTAAACGTCCAGTGGTATCATCACGATGAGGATTAGCGAACAATTTAACGTATGAACTCCCCTCCTCCTTCGTCTCTTATGCTATCTTGTCTCTCCCACTTTTCAACACCCTACTCTCTTGCACTCCTACAACAGAACACTCCAGCCGATCGTCTTCGCAGATCGCTTGAACTCGAGGACAGCGACCACGACAACACCGACGGACGACTTGGACCCGGACGCGGATCCGGTCCTGGACCTTCCTAAGGCGCAATCGTATAAGCATTCCCATGCTCATTATCGCCACCAGCGTTTGCATGCCCATTAGAGGCATAGTTCACATGGCCATTAGCCAGCCCATTCGTATGTCCGTTTGTAAGCCCGCCCGTGGTGGCATGGCCATTCAGTCCATTAGCAACAACATCCTCGCTATCGTAATGTAGACGCAGACTTGTCGGAATAGGACTCTCCTTTGAATTAGAATCGAGATAATGCCGCATCGTGATGCCCGCGAGTTTATGCTCGGTAACGGTAAAACGGCCTTGCTTACCGGGCGCGCGACGTACATTTGGCAGTTTGAACACTTCACGAAGCGTGGCAGCGAGAGAGGGGCCGACAAGACGCGCGCCAAAGCAGAAATGTAGACCGTGGCCGAGTAGAATGTACTCTTCAAATGGGCGGTGGGGATTCATGATCTCAGGGTTGGGGAACGCAACCGGGTCCATGGCAGACTTGGACGTGGCAATGAGGATCGTGTGACCCTTTTTGATGGACACGGGGCCACGGGCACCGTCGTTGACAGTGATATCTCTGGTTGCGACGCGAGGGAGACCAGGAACCACGCCCACATGGCGCATTCCCTCGTAAACGAAACCTTGTAATTCGCGGTCCGATTCTGCATGATCCATGTGCGACAGTTCCACGATTCGCGCCTTGTACTTTTCGTACCCGGGCGAGAGGAACAGGTCGATTAGCAAACTAGCTTGCTGGGTCAGGTTTCCGGCCACGGGTGCTCCCATGCCGATACAGTCGCCTACCAAGTCGCCAATGGGCAGCTTGGTGTCGGCAAGGGCGTGGTAGATGCGGTCGGCGTGTGGACCTACTTCAAAGGCGGAGCCCTTGGCCATCCAATCTACCAAGCCTTCAAGACGCCCTGTCTGTGTCTTCAGGTGGGTTTCGAAGATCGAGCGAAGTGGTGCTGCGGCTTGCATCGCGCCTGCTCGCAGTTTCCACTCATTGTGTGGCATGATGTTGAAGGATTGGTACATGACTATCAGTTGATTAGCAGGCTGTTCGTAATCGGAAATGGCTGGTGTTGTAACTTACATAGAACAAGATATGCGAGAAACGCTTCGTGGATAGAGAGTAACCCTCTAGGTTGCTCTTGTGTCTTCAGCGGAAGTGCAAAACGCTCTGCAAGCCAGAGGATTGGCGTGATGTTGGTAACATCGCGAACAATGTCGATACTCATTCTACCCTTGGCGCCTTTAAGTGAGTTCTGCTTGATGAGTTTCCGTACGTTGGTCGTGAAGAACTCATCGATGTTCTTCTCAAAACCCTCCTCGAAGAAGACCTTATCCAGGATTTTGGACCGCTCGTCATGCTTCTTTTGCTCGTCCCATCCGATCATGAAGTCATGTCCAGCCGTGCAGTTGCGAATAGCTGCCTGGTACATGACAACAAAGCTTTCACGATCATTGAACACTTTCTTGCAACCTTCTTGCGTCTGGACACTGATGATGTCGTAATCGCTCGGAGGGCGTCTGAGGTCATACTGTTCAACCACCTTATTGCCTGTGAGAATCTCTTTGGCTGCTTTGGGTGTGTAGAAGGGCAGCAGCGCGTAGCTTGAAGTTCCTTTAAATCCACCTGGGAGACCCTGGAAGAGCAGCTTGGGAAATACGCCGCCATATGCTCCTGGTGTACTCTCTGACAGCAGAGCCGCACCCCACTGCGTAAGAGTGTTACTGTTGAAGTCGTAGCTCAGGAAACGGTCACCACGAACTAATGCAACAGCATCGTCCAAGATACCTCGACCAGTTGTTTGACCGGGACAAACGCCACTTCCTGGCATAGCGGGCTTCGTGCACTCAGCCATTAATCCCGGGTATAGTTCCATATTCTCCATATGACCATACAAAAGCTCGGCTGCCCGCGCCGTCTCTTTGTCAGAGCACCAATCCTCGAATGTTTCGTACGGCTTCAGATTAAGATACCGACGGAATTCGTTGAGTGTGCAGACATTGAACATCTCACGGGCTTGTAACTGACCCATGAGATCGACAACCTTGAGACTGGCTGGTGTACCATGAGCACCAAAAGCGTGAGCAGGTTCTTCGATACAGTCTTTGATCAGCTCTGAGAGTTGAGCATCGTTGAATCTGCCATCGGCTCCTCGCTGAAGGCCTCCGAAGGTCCATTCCCAGGGCTTCTTGTTCATCAAGTCGTGACCGTACACCTTCATAACCTTGTGGAACATCTCGATTGTTACATCGTCGATGTGACGTAAGTCGGGGAAAACGGAACGGATGATTTCTTCCATCCAATTCTCGTCGGCAGCACTGAGAGCAGCATGCCAGTGGTAGAGAACAGCGAACTCCACGGATACATGACTGCCAGTTCCGCGCTCGACACGTGTACCACCTTGTTTGATCTCTTTACCGAGATCGAGAGACCATTCTGAGTTGGCTCGTGGGGTGTTCAAGATGGCAGCGACGTAGTCTTTCAATACGACTGAAGCAAAGAAGCCAACGTTGATATTGCGAGTAATCTGGAAGATGTCCTCGTCTTGCCTAACAACGTGTTAGACCCATTTAGGGAGTGGAAGGTGTTTAAGACTTACCATTTTCTGTCCGCTTCGTCTAAACTATCCCACGGCTTATATTTGCCGTCCTCGTTCACTGACAGTAATGATTCCGCAACATGGTTGTGGTTCCTCGAGAACATCAAAAGTACAGCGACTACACCAGGAGGCATCATCATGATGCGCTCCGAGGCGATAGAGTCTGGATATATCAGGCCATTCTTGTACGTTCGCACGCGCGGCTGCTCTTTCTCTGTGTTGCCGTACAAGGTGCTGAGGTCAACATAGCTCGAAGTCTCGTTGATCCAAGGGTCTGTCCTAGAGGTTTGGAAACATTCGTGAATGACGATAGTTGCGAAAGAGAAGAACAGGCGATTGAGGCCAGAAGGATGCTCGCGGAAAGGCCTATCGCGCTTGAGAAGCGCCTCATACACGTCTTCAACGTCGGGCAAGTTTGGTCCTACAAGTAGTTGTCAGTCCCAATTCGCAAGTCTGTCGTACGGGAGGATTACTTACCTTTCGGTTTAGTCGGAGGCACGTTGCGCGCATACGGCGATCCTGCCTTGCCCATTTCAGGGTTGTGAGGATTGTTTCCCGAGCCGTCGTGCTTCCGGTATCTTGCTGAAGGTCCAGCATGTGTAGGCGTTGGGTGGGGCAAGTCATTCCAGAGCATGCTAATAAAACCGTCTGAGACTTTTGCGCTGAGACCGCTGTTCAGAGGCAGTCCCTGTAGCATCTGGACTCCCTTCTCGAGAAGAAGATCTTTATCGTCCAAAGGCTCGCCTGATGCCAATGTTGTAATAGCGTCGAGAGCGAATTTGGCATCCTTAACACCGAGACCTCTAATGTCGCTGACAATGCCAGTCTTCTGGTGGTTCTTCAGCCCGCTCGCGGCTTCCGCCGTTCTGCCATCGCTTGCTTGCGTAGGCTTTCTCCTGATCTTTCCGATCAATGTTTGTATCTGACTAGGCATGATGAATAGTTGTGCGAATAACCATGTGGAAAGGAAGGGAATGGGCAGAATATGAATCCCACGACGGTAGGGAAGTCAGAAAGTAAGTTCAATGCAGCTTGCTGTTGATCTTGGAAGGCGCAATGCTCCCCACACGAGAGCTTGGCCATGGCAAGCAGCGACGAGCCAGTCCCATGACGACGATCGCTAGCAGCTTCGGTGTGTTGATCAGCATATGCACTTGGCGAACAGTGTCCTACGGCTTCCAGTGAGGGCGGGTGAACCCATGCATGCACCAGGGCGGAAAGAGTAGCGTCTTGATCTTGATATTGTCAAAGCTTTGATAGCTGCAATTATGTGAGTGTTGATTGGTCATGAGCTACTTCGTGGAGGGTAGCACTAGACGGATGCTGCGCTACCTTCACTGGGAACTGACAGAGGGGTGTTGAGTAAGTCCAAGAGACGATCTGTGGGCAGCGTCGATAGGACCCACAGCGTAGCAGCACCATTGGCCCCATTGGGGATGGAACTAGAGAGGCCCACCTGTGATGATCCATGGATGGTTTTTGTAACATCACGAAGCATGCTCAAAAGAAATGTGTATGCCGCACGGGTACACCTGCCACGTTTCAGGCTTCAGCACCCAGTGATTCTCTGGGGACCCGTTGTGGTATGATTTTGGTAATCTGATGCCAGACTGGATGTGCACTTTTGCGCAGGTGGCGGTCGACGACGTGATAGACAGAAACGGCGACCTGATCTTGCGACCATTCCAAACAGAGACGTAGACGAAAGCCATAGATGAACTTTCAAGCGATCGGCATCCTGATTGAGCAGCCTTCGGCTGAGTAGTAGAAGAAACCCCTAGCGCTTGCGGGCCCGGAATTGACCGATCCTATTTCCCGGCGGCTGGTCGCGCATTCATCTGCTAGCGAGTGAACAAACGAAATGGAGTTTCAGCTGATGCGGTGGCGGTCAACAACTGGAGCGCGAGCTTGCAAATCTCCGAGTAGGGTGCGGTATCGAGCTAAGTACTAGCATCCGCAGTCTGTGGCCTACGGCCTGTCCCGAAGCCGTAAGGTTTACTGTTCGGTTCATCCAAGACGCCGGTGGTGGTTGCGATGAGTGGGAAGTGCGATCGATAGTCGAGAAGACGGGAATCGAGACGGCTCTGCACGGACCATGACCCACAAGTGATCGCTAGCAGGGTAGCGCCAACCACCTCTAAACGACGCGACGTGCTTTTCCAGCTCATATGTCGGCGAGCAGACCTACACCAGCAACTATCCTCTGATCGGCACAGCTGTGTTGAACGCGCACGCTTATGAAACCAATAGAAGTTGACACGATTGTGATTCCCTGCACCGCACTCAGCATTAGCTTGCGGGGCTTCTCTGTCGGAACGCGTATCATTGCGTGCATCGGTTACCTTCAGCCAGGATGGTGGCCGGAAAACGACATTGGCTCAATTGTGGTGAAAGGGTTATCCAGATTTCTTTTCACGATCAACTACGGTAGAAGACGGGGCAGCGTGCGGTGCATCTGTCGTGTCTCCTGTCAGCCAACGCTGCAACATATGTGTTGCTTCCACATCATCTACATAGATACTTGAAGTGGGGGCGTGGAACAGTGCATGGTAGCTAGTTCGTATCAGCCATTCCAAAATCAATGACCTCTGTAGGGCGGACGGCACTTCGAAAAGATCAGCGGCTCCTGATTAGCGGCGGGACTACTCCGAACCCACCACACGCGACATCGACATGTCGATAGGCGAGTGTCTTTGCAAGCTGCATTAGCAATGGCGATCAATATCTTAACGTGACTTGATACGTTCGGAAGCTTTGGGAACAGGCCGGAGGGGAGCATGCGTCAGTTGTGTTAGGCCACTGCATCCGATCCCCGCGATGATAGAAATCACTTGGCTACCTAATGCTTCGCAACTGCTTCGTTCTAACTACGAAGTTGCTACCCTCTCAGAATCTCCTTCCTGCTCGAGTTCCACGTTGTCAGTATGGCGCGTATAAACCCAGAGCAGTCACGCCTCCCTAGCGTTTCACCCCAGCTTCCCGCACAAACACCTAACAACAACCCTATGGATTACGGAGCAGTATCGCGACGTCCGAATCATGTGACCAAGAAATTTGTCCTGTGCTTTGATGGTACAGGTAATAAGTTCTCGGGTACAGATTCGGATAGCAACATCCTGAAGATTTATCGCATGCTCGATCGCAATGGGGACGATCAATTTCATTACTATCAGCCCGGAATCGGCACCTACGTTACGAAAGCCAATGGATCTATGACCCGAACAGGCCGATGGGAGAGGTTTCAGTCGTGGTATGCGAAAGCAAAAGACAGCGCGATAGGTATGTTCGATCGGACTTGGCTGCCAAGCATGAGACCTAATCTAGTATAGGAACTTCATTCGACCAGCACGTTATGGCAGGATATAAGGTTAGTAATTAACTGCATGAAACAGAGCAGCAGCTCCGGTTGCTCGCTTGAAGGAGCAACCATGGCGCATAGCACTGACACGCTTTGGACAGTTCCTGATGAGATACTATACGCCTGGCGATGACATATTCTTCTTTGGATTTTCACGAGGTGCCTACACAGCTCGTTTCCTTGCGGAGATGCTCGATCATGTTGGCCTTCTCTCTGTAAGCGCTTGTTCACCATATATCAAGAAGTTTCTAACATGCAACAGGCTGGAAATGAAGAGATGTGCCAGTTCGCATGGAAGTAAGTACAGCCTGAAGTCATTGTAAAACCCTCACTTACACTTTTGGTCAGAACATTTCAGAAGTGGCAATGTCGATTGCCGGAAGAGAAGGGTAGCAAAAGCCGCAAGTCCGGCGAGAAATCAGAAAAGCTAAAGCTTCTCGAATTCATGTGCGCGTTCAGGGAGACATTCAGCCGCCCTGTAAAACCCATACGCTTCCTTGGTCTTTTTGATACAGTCAACAGCGTGCCTGCATTCGAGAATGCATGGATGCAACGCAGCAGGTTCCCGTATACTGCAAGAAGCAGTGCGAACGTAATACGTCATGCGGTCTCTATCGATGAACGGCGTGCAAAGTTCAGACAAGATCTCATCTCCCAGGAGAAGCCAGACAGATCAATGCTTTACAAACACCGTCATCACAAGCATCGGCAGCAAATGAAGGATATGATCCACAGTGATCATGAGGATCATGATTACGACGAAAAGGATCACGAGGAACACCAGGATAGAGGTCGGCGGGACACGTTAGCACCGCCTGAGCGATTCAGAGATCCACATGAGACTTCAGGCGTGCGCAGCCGTAGCGCAGACCGCTCACAACTGGATGGTGTTCATGGCTCTGCTACTCCTTCAATGCGATCGTACGACGCAGCAGGGACTTTCAACTCTCAAGACGAGGATGGCGAACAAGACATTCAAGAAGTCTGGTTTCCAGGGTGTCATGCAGTGAGTGCATTTTACCTGGGATAGACCTTCAAAACTGACAATGCGTAGGACATTGGCGGAGGATGGCCTCTCGGTGACGATGATGCAGCCTTGAGTCACGTAGCGCTGGTGTGGATGGTGCGCGAGGCTCAAAAAGCTGGTCTCGACTTCGACGAAGACAAGTTGGAGGCCCTGAGCTGTTGCCATGAGGAGCCTACAACCACCGTTTTGCAAGCCCAAAACAACATACCGATGATTGCGATTGATCCTGCATCACCCTCACCAGTCATTCCACGCAAGAATTCGGATGCGCCGTCCATGGATACAGCAGGCTACACTGACGACGACAACATACTTTCTCATCACCGTGAACACCCGAACACACACTTCCATAAACACCTCCACAGCGCCGCAACTAAAGGCCGTATCCATGATGTTCTCCAGTTCAATAATGGCGCCAACCGTATGGGCGTCGTCTCGTGGAACATAATGGAGTATCTACCCTTTCGACGTATGGATCTACAAGAAGACGGAACCTGGAAAGCAATCAGATGGCCTTTGCCTAAAGGCGAGACCCGTGATATACCCGCCGATGCCGTTATCCACAGCAGCGTGATTAAGCGTATGCGCGCAGACCCAACCTACCGTCCTGGCAATCTGATAGTAGGTGGTGGTGGGAGAGGTGTCAGGCACGCACCCAAGGACATGGGTATGGGTCAATGGGTTGTCGCTTGTGATGAAGGCCACCATGTAGGCGAGTGTTTCAAGCGCAGACACCCACCTGAGAGGACAAAGACAGACGAAATGGAGCAGCCTGCGTGTGATGGTGGTATGCAGGTAAGCTTCCTCTGATCGTGAATACCGAGAAGGCGGAACTAATTTTCAGTAGGGAAATTACTTTGCTGGCCGCAAGAAGTCGACTGTCATGTAGACCAAGACACTAGTCCTATGCGCCGCTTCTACCTAGATAGTTCCTGAACACTGCTTCCAATTTACACCGCTTTTAATCTGGACGTCTTGAAGCCGGTGCTCTTCGCTTTCGATGGTGTCATATAGTGAAGTGTGTTATTGAAATCATAATGACGTGCATGCCGTACGGCCTCAATACATGATCCTTTATATCGTCTTTTCAAATCTTCACTCATCTACCTAACATCTTCTTCAAGGAACCTTGTGCTCAAGCCTTCTGCGCATCGTGACCCCAGTTCTTCAAACTCTTATAGCTCTTACTATCGGTGTCTTTCTTCGCCTTCTCTTCTTGCGCAAGATGCCTCTTGCAATATGCTACTACCTTGCGCATGTGATCGATGTCTTCCTGGTCGTATTTACTAGCTTCTTTCTTTGGATTCTTCTGCAAGATGGCAACAATTTTACGGCCTGAATCATGACCGATTGTTTCGCCGGAGCCGTTATCCTTGGACCTGTAGGCGCCTTAGAGACTGTGTATGCCATGCAATTCGCAATGTCAGCATTGCATTAGAAGGAGGGTTTACCAGCCGGCTCCCTCGGACTCTTCGCTGCCGAGCCAGTCTTGTAGCTCGTCTGCTGACATGTTGACAAGCTCGTTGAATTCCCTTGGGGCGCCGTAAGCACTTGGCCTCGCCTCAGTTCACACAAGCTACTCACTCAATTACGGTTTCATTGTCCTTGACCATCTTGCTATGTGTTTAGGAATCGTGATAGGTAGTTCGAAATGAGTATTGTCCAGGGTCTTTTTGCAGAATATGCTGTCGACGTTTCCCAGTTCGATATGCTCAATCCGCTCTTCAGCGTCGCGATGTCATGACATCACGACCACGCCCTAGCGCTACTGATGGCGCCCAGCCTTGGAGCACCAAGAAACGGTCGCACGTGACCTAGCGGAGCGCGTCGCGTCTCGCAGTTGGCATGAATGTCTCTCACGCAGCCAGGCATTGGCGCAGGGATATTGGCGCAGTAAAGGATACGAAGACTGCATCAAGCCGTATCGTCTCGCCGCGTTCTCGATGCAGTCTATACTCCCTTCCGCACCAGAAGCTGGCGACCTCTCGGGTGCGCTAAACTGTATGGAGCGGAAAACTGCGAGAGTCAGGTCTGAAGCAATTTTGACGTTGGACTGTGTCAGCTATAAATCCAGCCGGAGGTCGCTGTCGTGCGAGAAGTTGCTGCAATGTTGGTTTCGTTGTTCCATCTCCAGCTTTCGTCTCCAGCTTTCGTCCCCAGTGCTTACTACTTAGTGAGAAGTTTTCTCCAGTCTCCGCAGCCTCCGCAACCCCTTCTTCTCCTCACCACACGCAAGCTCCCCTCAAAGTTTTCACACCCACTCCGCGATGTGGGAACTACCGAGATTACGGCCTCACTTTCTCGTCCGCTGCGGGTCGGACATGCCAAGTCAATGGAATGTTCTTAGTGGCTTCCTTGAGCCTCATGTGGGCCTCCTGCACCAATCCGAACCAATCTGTCGCCGCAACCTGGCTTACGTTGCATCCAAAACGGGTCCCTCGCTATACCTGACCGGAGGAAGACTGCAAGCGATCGGAGATTGCGAATCAAAACAAGCGCTGCGACAAAGCTTATGCCGGTTCACGCGGCATTTGTTTAAAGAGTCGGAGGGATGGTCGGAGAGAGACTGGTGTTGAGGGTTGCACAGACCTGGATGGGGTCGTACACATCTCCATCATCCCCACTGCCGAGAGAATCTGTCGCATCTTGAAGTGAAGTATCTTCACCGACATGGGCCCGGCCGAGGAATACGCGTCGTTGAGTCGACATCCACAAGTCACGCGACTATCAGTAGGTTCCTGGGGATCGGCTGTGCGGCACAACGGTCCCTGAGGCTCGTCGTTGTATGCCATGCATCTGAATGCGGGGTGGGTGTCAGAGGCGTTCAAATCGCATTAGCAGAACGTCCTGTACAACGCCTACCGTCAGATGAGCATGCAAGAACACGATCCGATCCATGTGAACTCTAGGCTGTGTATCTCTTTGGGGGGACTTCCCGGAACGTCGGGCGGATTTGGCTTGGCCGTCGAATCGCGACCAGCTTCCCCACATACACGCCCCTTGTCCCCCAGCGGCTGCGTCGCATTGACAAGCCCACTACTGCAGTTTCAGACCCCCCGGATGACTTCTGTTTGGCTGTGGAGGAGGACAAGCCAAGCTTGTAAGGCCGCTCGCGCGCAATTTCGTGTGACGGCGTGGCGCGTATGACGTAGAAGCCCCGGAGTCGAAAGCTCGGCGCGATGCTGGGCATTACCGCATAACGGGACACGGGATTGGAATTGGCATTGATACTTAAGAATGGATGTGTACCGGACGAGTAACCCCATCTTGCCTTGAACATCAATCTTCCCGTGGTCAAGTCGTCTTACAATCATGGGTTTGGGCAAAGTGTAGGTTTTAATCCGGTTGAAGTACGCATACAGTTGTGCTAACTTTTACAGTGCTGTCAAGATACGCGGCGCCGAGTGCGGCATTGAAGCCATCATACTTGGAGTGATTACTTCGATAGGTGGTTTCCTGTTTGGTTATGACACGGTATGTACCATACATGCTCTGTTTCCAATCGTCCAACGGCTTATTCAAGATAGGGTCAAATTTCTGGAATGCTCATCTTTGAGGATTTCATTCAGCGATTCGGACAGGACCAGGGCAATGGCGAGAAGGCTTTCAACCCCACGATTCAATCCTTGCTCGTTTCCCTCATGTCCATCGGTACCCTCATCGGCGCACTTGCTGGTGCCTACACTGCTGATTGGTTCGGTCGTCGACGCAATCTGACCGTTGGTGTGGCCATATTCGTTATTGGCAACATCATCCAGGTCACCGCGATGACCACTTGGGTACACATGACAGTTGGTCGCATTGTCGCAGGTCTTGGTGTCGGTATCCTGTCTATTGGCGTACCAATGTACCAATCTGAAGTATGCCCTCGAGAGATTCGTGGTGCCGTCGTCGCATCTTACCAACTCATGATCACTGTCGGAATTCTCATCTCCAACATCATCAACTACGGAGTCCGCGACAACCCAGGCGAGGATAGCGATGCTGCCTGGAGGATCGTTATCGGCTTGGGAATCGGCTTTTCCATTCCTCTTGGTGTCGGTGTACTTTTCACACCGGAGTCTCCAAGGTGGTTGGCGGGTAAAGGACGATGGGAAGAGGCACGCATGTCAATGGCCCGTCTCCGAGGCCTTGTGCATGACCCCAACCACGAGCTGGTCAACTCGGACTTCAAGGAGATGGAGGATTCCATCAACGAACAACAGAGCGCTGGACAAGGTACCTGGATGGAATGCTTCACTGGCCAGCCATCCGGCATTCCGCTTCTTGCTTACCGAACCCTTCTCGGATGTGCTCTGCAATTTTTCCAGCAGTGGACCGGTGTCAACTACTTTTTCTACTACGGAGCGACCATCTTCCAGTCGGCAGGTATTGACGACCCTCTCCAGGTTCAACTCATTCTTGGCGCTGTCAATGTAGTCATGACCATTCCTGGATTATGGCTCATTGAGCGAGTTGGTCGTCGTGTGCCTCTCGTCGTTGGTGGTCTGTGGCAAGCTGTCTGGCTGCTGATTTTTGCTATCATCGGTGTCGTGCTACCGCCACAGGACAACCCGGCCGCTGGTATTGTTATGATTGTCGCTGCTTGCATGTTCATCGCAAGTTTCGCCTCTACCTGGGGGCCTTTCATTTGGGTTATCATTGGAGAGACGTTCCCACTCCGCACTCGCGCGAAGCAGGCCTCTTTGGCTACTGCTTTCAACTGGCTCGGTAAGCTATACATCTTCAACACATCAAATCTATTCACTAACGCTCCATGTTAGGCAATTTCTTGATCGGTTTCCTTACACCGTACGCTGACGACGGTATCGGCTACGCCTTCGGTTTCGTCTTCTTCGCATGCAACTTCGTTGCGGCGGGTATCGTTTACTTCTTCGTATTCGAGACCAAATCATTGTCTTTGGAGAATGTCGATATCATGTACTCGGACCCAAGCATATCGGCTAGGACCAGTAAGAAGTGGGTCCCAGCTGGATACATCAGCCGTAACGAACGTGACGACACTTATTGGGAGCGTCGTCACAGTGCTGTTGGTGCTACTGGTGCTGCTGCATCGGAGAAGGTCGGCGACAAAGATGTTGATACTTCGCCTGAGAGGGGCATGTCAACGCACCACGAGAGGGTTTAAATATACTCCCATGGTCAAATACAGGATATCTTTACCTAGGCAGTCCAGGTTAGAGATGTTCTCGCACTGCCGCTGTCTTCTAGCGGCTCCTCCATTTTAGCACTGGGCTACATACCGCCAAGAGGCGTACATAATTTAGACTTTATTCAATTCCAACACATTAACAATTCGCTGCCTCTGTGATGTGAGAAGCTCTTTTGCATTCCGGAAAGGTGCCGGCACAGCCACCCCTGCTAATTTTAGCGTGGCGCATGTCACAAACACAAGCGGCAACGCGTCAGCTCCACGTCTTCTCTCCAGCCACTCTCCGCTTTCAAACAACAAGATACAGTGTCCTCGCTCGTTTTACACTTCTGCCGCTCATTATCTAGGATTCTTTTCTGCCCAACTACGAACACTGAAATACCGGAAGATACGAATACGGAGCTATGCCGCCAGCAGTACCACTTCACAACACCAGCAACCTCGCCAAATTAGCGCGTCGGGCCCTGGTCACAGCGGGGCCGGCTGTCGCTTCGCAGGCCTCGCATCACTTCGAGCGCCGCGGATTGAGTGTAAATCATACTCAAGGAGTTACGCTAGGTGTTATTGCTGCATATGTTGTTGTTATTGCGTTGTTGTGGAATTTACCGTATGTGCGATGGGTGTTGTGGCCGTTCAAGGTATGTGCACCGTAGTAGCCCTAGGAGAAGATGGTCTGGAATTGAGATCATCAGTGTGGTTGATGACCGGGTTCCTTGAGCTTGCAAAATCAGCATAACAGGAGACATGGATGGCTGATTGAATCCACAGATGCTAGTCATTGCCTTCCACGAATTCTCTCATGCAATAACGTCTTGTTGTACTGGTGGGCGAGTAGAGTCAATCTCTCTTGATCCTCACGAGGGAGGTGTGACGCACATGCGCGGCGGCAAGCAATTCATTACTCTCCCTGCTGGCTACTTGGGGTCTTCATTGATCGGCGCTTTACTTACGTTCTGCGGTTTCAACATCGTGGCCTCCAAAGTAGCGAGTATCGTGCTAGGCGTATGTTTCCTACTGACATTGTGGTGGGCGAGAAAAGACTGGTTGACGATTGTGACCATTCTGCTCAGTGTAGGGTTGCTTGTGGCGTTCTGGTTCATCGAACATGGCGAAGCGTTAAGGTTCATGGTCGTGAGTACCCCTTCTCGTCCCTTCGAAAACCGTCGAACTAAAAACTTTCCAGCTCTTTATCGGCGTCATGTCTTCTCTATACAGCGTGTGGGACATCTGTGACGACCTCATCCTCCGCAAGGTTAATTCTTCCGATGCCAGCGTCTTCGCCAAGCGGTACGGCGGTTCATCGCAATGCTGGGGCGTCATCTGGTCACTTGTCTCGTTGATTTTTATGGTTTGCGGAATCCTCGCGGGGTTGGCAGCCTTCAAACAGAGTTTCGAACAGCAAGAGAAGGACAGTCAAGACTTTATTCCTACCGTGCGCATGATGATGCGGGTATGAGACTTGATCTGAGGATATGATATGGTATGGACGGCTCAAAATATGTATTTGGACGGCACCGGGAGACCTGCAAAATTTGGTTGGCGATGATATACCCTTATATGCGCGTAGTATTGAGCTTTGTATTGCTCAGATCGTTCCACGACAGCGAAATGACATAGTATTCACCTCTCAGTGGAGAAAAGAACAGGTCCCTATGCGGATCTAGTTGAGTTAAAGAGTCATTCCCGTAGGCATGATGACCACCACTGTTAGACCGAACCACAAGAAAAGCGGGATGCAACTCTAATCGTCACCACATGTCGAATATCCAAATCACCAGCAACTTTAATCAGCAAGGCGTACATCCGCTCGATATCCAACGCAGGTCCTTCAGGCGTACTTCCCGTCAACCTACTCTCTCTCAAAGAATCCGCCAAACGCGTCCTTCAAAGCCTCCTTCACACTCTCCAACACAACCTTGTCCTCGTCACACTGTCTCTCAACTTGCAGTAAAAGCATGTCGTAGACCGCGCGACCCGTCTCATGGCCCTTCCCAAGCGATTGCAACCTGCTCGTCAACACCCTCCATTCCAACACCTCGTCGTCCTTCGCTTCTTCCAGTTGCTTCTTCGCAAGCTCGTAATCTTCGTCTCGCTTCAATATCGCCTCGCGATAGGTATCAGCGTCCTTGCGAGACTCCTCTAGCTCTTCGTTGGCAATGTCAAGGGCACCTTTGTGGGCACGGAGCTCGGAGGTTTGGTCGCGATATGTGGCTTGAAGAGAAGCGTGGGAGGCGAGAGCGGCGTGGTAACGGTCGGTCAATCTGCAGCATTGAACACAGAGCAACTTGATCTGGTTGCTGCTGTAGGCTGATTTGGCTTTCTCGGCTGCCAGCTCTTGTTTCGTTCTTTGAAGTTCGGCCTTTTGATGGAGAAATTCACGCTGGAGGATAGAGTGTGCATGAAGTTGGCGTTTCTAGCGGAGGTTAATGACCACTCCAAACTTGGGTATACACGTCGCTGTCCATTTATTGTATGTACTCACAGAAGCAATTTCAGTGGTGTGCTTTGTCTTTTTGGATGAGGGTTCTGGGGACGATTCCTCTGCGGGCCGCTTGCTCGTTCTTGGATCTGTGGTCGGTACCATCAGGCCACGGGACTTCAGCAACGCGACTTGTCGTTCGAGCTCGGTCATGTTGACTCGATCGCGGCTTGGTCTCATTGGACAGTGCTGCTAGTAGTTCGTAGAGCAAGGTTGAAGTTGGTGCGAAACAGACTAAGGCACAGAGATGCAAGATATACGTGCGCCAGTTCTTCATCTCTAGGTGACTAACAGTTGATCGTGGGTCACATATCGAGTGGGTAGCTTTGAAAGTGGAAGTGAAATGTGATAGTGGCTTGCTAGGAGATGACTAAAGCCAGGGTGAAGCGTTAATACTTGAGTTCTAGCCAAGATGAAGGTGAAGGTGAAAAGTGCCCAATCGAGAGCGGCCTCGAGTTTCACAGCCCAGAAAAGCTGCCTGATAGAGATGTAGACGCTCTCCTGACTATGAGGCATCTAATGCAGCCCCACTCCCTTCACTCCCTCAAAAAGCGCGTCCTCCCTGACTAATACACTTCGACTCAGGTCCTTCTTTTGCACACTCTGGATACCGCTTAAATGCAAGGTCAGCTCCAGCTCACCCACCAAACTCTTGAGTACATGCTCCACGCCCTTTTCTCCTCCAAGTGCCAGACCATACACGTATGGTCTACCAACTAGCACACAGTCAGCGCCCAGCGCCATTGCTTTCGCAATGTCAGCACCAGATTGAATCCCACTGTCAAAGAAGATTGTCAACTTGTCCCCAACAGCATCAACGATATGTGGCAACACGCCCAACGAGGAATTCCCGCCATCAAGCTGCCTCCCGCCGTGATTACTCACAACAACGCCCTGCACACCAATCTCAACCGCTTTTCTCGCATCGGCCAAGCTCTGAATGCCCTTGAGCACGATTGGCCCATCCCAGTGCCTCTTCAAAAACTCCACATCCTCCCAACTATGGCTCTCCCCGGGGAAGATTGTCCTCATCCATTCTGGCGCCGCAGTGTCCATTTTACTGTCCACATCCACGTCATGCCTCTCCTTGAACTGTTTCCGGAACACAGGATCTGTCATACCGAGCTCCACGCCTGTGCGATCTGCGCGCATAAAGGGGTTGTATCCATTATCCATATCTTCGGGCCGCCAGCCAAGGATATATGTATCTAGCGTTACGAACAGAGCTGTGAAACCGGATTTCTTTGCGCGCTGGAGTAGAGATATAGTAATGTCGTCGTGTTCGCGTGAGGGCCAGTAAAGTTGGTACCAGCGTTGGCCATCGGAGCCGTTGGCTGCGGCGGTATCCTCTATACTCGTGCTACTCGCTGTACTTAGGATGTATGGGATAGCCTCTTTGGCTGCGGCTTTTGCGGCGGCGACTTCGCCTTGGGGGTTGAAGATCTTCAGTACGCCGACTGGCGCCATGGCTATGGGCGCCACCATTTTCTCGCCGAAGATTTCGGTCGTCAGGTCGAGGAAACCAGTGTACTTTACCAGGCGGTTTGGCACAATAGACCATTTCCTGAAGGCATTGCGGTTTTTGTCTGTTGTTTCTCGTACTCCAGCCGATCCGTAGACGTAGCCTTTGGAGTCGGCTGACATGCGGCTACAAGCCAATTCTTCCCATCTATCGGCCTGGAATGTGAGTGGTGGGCGTTCAAAGTCTAACCCGCGTGTGTATGTTTGCATCTCATAGTCAACGGCATCTTGTTCTGGTTTGTGGTTTTGAAATTTGGGATGGTGTTGGGTTGCTGTGGGCTCGGACATGGTGATGTGGTGGGATTCGGGTTGCCCTTAGGATTGAAGTGATGGAACCCGTCAGGTGAGAATGAGTGACGGGAGTACAGACAGAGCTATTCGAGTGGTGACAGACGCTTACTGGAGCATAATGCACGTCACATCATGACAGCTTTACCGGATATTTTCGGAAACAAGGTAGTGCAGGGCCTAATGGCGCATCCCGCACCAGGGCAGTCTTGTGAAGCTTAGGTGTGAGCTATTTGTCGACTATTTAGTGTACCTTAGTGGAGACGCAGGATTGTGTTGTCTGTTGGTGCATGTTGCGTCAATGGGTCTCCAGATGAGGGGGAGCATGACAGTGCAGTGACGTCACGCGCTGTCATGGCAAAGTATGCCCAAGCAGAGGGACATGAGGAAGTGTGTACAAGCAAATGGAGTGGGTGGGGACAGATGTCCGCCTGGTGAATCATTTCTATCCGTCTAATAATGTGCCTCTATACCTCCAATCCATGATGATAGCGTGTGCAAAGCATGCAGCCTCTGCTTCGGAAGAAAAGCGGGCGTCCCAAACTCCATCAATGCAAATATCGATCATCGCAGTATAACAAGCAAGGCTAAATAAAACGTCTAAACAGCGACGCAGCCGCCGTCAATCTTCAAATGTCCACCAGTCATGAACTTGCTGTCTTCGCTGACGAGGAATGCAACGACGCTGGCCACGTCATCTGGGGTGCTGAAGCGGTCGAGCGCAGTCTCCTCCTTGAGCTCTGCCAGCCTCTCCTTGTTCCAGCCGTCCTTGTAGCCCTGTGTTTGGATGATGCTCGTGTGGATGGTGTTGACGCGGATGTTGAGCGGACCAAGCTCTTCAGCGGCGGTAAGGGCGATGCCGCGCAGGGCGAACTTGCTGGCGCTGTACGAGATGAGGTTGGGGAAGCCGCGAAGACCGGCGATGGAGGATCGGATGATGATGGAGCCGCCACCAGAGGTGGTCTGCATGGCTGTAGCAGCGTACTTGACGCCTAGGAATGCTGGGGGGTCAAGAGTCAGCGGAGGGTGACGTTGTCGAAGAGACAGGGGAGTGACATACCAGACTTGGCGTTGATGGTCATGATGCGGTCAAAGTCGTCTTCGGTGACGTCGAAGATGCTCTTGGACTCGCCGCGATGGCAGCAGTTGAGCAGGGCAGCGTCGAGCCTCTCGAAGCGTTGCACCACCTTCTTGGCGCATGCCTCGACGTCGGGCTCCTTGGTCGCGTCGGCGACAATGGTGAGCAGGCGCGACTCGATGGGCGAGCCTGTGGGAATGGCGGCCTTGAGGACGGGCACGGCAGCCTCGAGAGCACCCTGGTCGATGTCGATGAGGGCGACGTTGCAGCCTTCGATAAGCAGGCGGCCAGCAGACTCGACGCCCACCTTGCCGCCTCCGCCCGTGATCATGACGACCTTGCCCTCCAGGCGTTGGATGGGCAGCGGCCGTGTGAGGTTGGTGGATGTGGGCGCGCGCTCCATGCCCGGCCGCGGGGGCTTGTTCAGGTTGAGGGTCGCGATGCTGGCGCCAGGCGTGCGCAGGCTCTCGGTCGTGTTTGCTCGCTGCATGATGGTGGTGGTGGTGGTCAAGTCGGCCGTGGAAGTCGTGATGGTGGGGAGGGAATCTTGTGCCGTCCAGCGGTTGCTTCGTGAGGATGTTGCGAGGGCAGGGCTCGCGGGCACAGGGCCATTTTGCTATTTCTACGTGCCATCATCCCCTCCTCACCGGACCCTTCTTTTCCCTCAAGATGACGTATCGCCGGGATTCCCTAGGCGAAACTTTTTCTGCGTTGATCAAACACCGGATGCGCATCCGTTGAGGCTCTTGCTGGCGGCTGTACCCACTGCCCCGAAAATTTCAGCCAATGTCGCCCCTCGCCGGCATTTGGCCGCACCACCTGCTCCAACTCTGGTGCAATGAGCGGTGGGACGTGTCCACTCCATGTTATCACTTATCGTACCCCGTGTGCACGATTGTGGGTGATGTGGGCAGTACACATGCCGCCGTGTGGTTTTTGACCTGCTTAGGGCGGGGTTGTAATCTAATCGTTTCCACCAGTCGCGCGAATCCAGTCGCGCCCAGCGTGACATCGCCTCAGACCAGCGTCCCCAGGTGTTCGAACAAGGCGGTCAGGCACAGCGCTATTACTGCCAAACGGGCAAGTAGTCCGGCAAGCTATCCATTTGTAACTTCCCAGCCCAGACGAACCGACTTCCCATCTCCAATCGCGTCGTCGTGACCGGGTAACGCGGAAGATCAAGGCAGCAGACAAAGTCTCCTGTGAAGAGCAGGATAAAGGGAACAACGAGTCGGGTGCAAAATCTGGCGCTGGCATAGTGGATCAATAGCCGATGCTACAAAGACACAGAGTCATGAGCCGCATTGAAAAAATGACAGCAAGAGACATCACCGCGGCCGGAATTAAGCATTACCAATTTCAGGCAAGACAGGTCAGCAATGCTTGAGGTTCAGGGTTGACCATCAGCTTTTCATTCAGTCCTCATACAAGGCGTCGCTCTCCTTCACCTCCACCCTGGACAGCACTTTGCATTCACCAGTCCAGAAAGTAGTCGATACCATCCGCGAGCGCTGCCGCGCCTACTGCAGCATGATCACTGAAAGGGTACTCATGTATGCTGATATCCCTCAACGCCGGACTATCCTCCAGCGTGCTGTATAGCTTTTGGCTCAGATCCGTCATCCGCTGCGGTACAAGGATGCTCTGTCTAAAGGCGAACTCCTCATCCGTTTCCGTCCGCCTCTGCACCAGGTTCTGTTCGAGCGCCCCATAGCTTATCTGGAAAGCAGGCTTGGTGGCATTGGAAGTGTTGTTAGCCGAGGGCGAAGTTAGCGGTGCGAGAAAATCCGTGTTGTTGAAGACGTAATCGTTGTTGAAGAAGAGTGCCGGGGAGGCGCTGAGAAATGTATCGAAGAGATCGGGGCGTACTGTGAGAGCGTACAGGACGAAGAGGCCGCCAAAGGAGTGACCGTAGAGCGCATCGCGGTCGAATTCAGCCTTTGGGAAAGCTGTTTCCTGGACCCAGGGGCGGAGAGCAGTGTCGATGAACTCGATGAACTCATTGGCATTGGACTGCACGCCAGGCACTGTTGGCAATGGGCAGCCGTCGCAGACAGGAGGCTGGAAGTCGTAGCTTCGCTGGGTGCTGTAAGGCGAATCTTCAATGGTTTCCGGGTAGCCTATGCTGACGACGATACAGTCGGGCATGTTGAACTCAACTGGACGGCGGCGACGGAAAGCTTCCGTGGCAGTCATGCCGAGTGCATTGCCATCGAGGACATACCTAGTAGTGGTGTTAGTACTTCTTTTCTCATGTTGCTACTGTAGTCCATCATGGGCTCTTACATCGTCTCCACAGTCGAGCTCTCCTCCTGCGATGTCCAGTTCAACGGCCATGCGACTTGAATCTGATATTCCCAAGACCCGTTGGTCGCACTCCAGAACCCTAGGTTAGGCAAAACATTGGTAGGGAATTCGGTGACGAGGGGCGCAAACTGCCAAGCACCAACTGAACTCATGATGATGGTGGTGATGAAGACGGACCGGTTTGTTCAGATGCAGGTACCAGGGGATCAGGCTACCTATCGACTGGAATGCTTTTGGCTTTTGTACCTGATGGCCACCAGATTACTCGTCCCAGAAAATACAGACCCGAGGGGCGGGGAGCAAGCCCGTATCCTGTGCAGATACCACGCCGCAATCGCAAGGGCCCCGCAGTAACTTTGCTCTGGTAGGTTAGCATAGACGCGGCATGGGATTCTAGTCCCGGTACTTACAGTTGGACATCCCGGCCTTATTGAACAATATATACATTGCCAAGACGGGGGATCATCCTTGATGATTCCGGTCTCTGTTCGCCTCTGATATGTTATAGAGAAACTGGAGTATCTTACAAGACGATGTCAACGGAAGAAATCTCTCTTGTGCTGAAGAGTCCAGGCTGCGTAATCGCGAATTAGTGCGATGAGACTGCGAGTCAAGCAGCTATCCAAGTGGATGAGGCGGGTCAGAAGGATTCACTATCTATGTTCTGGCTCTTGGAAACCGAGGACTGTACATGTGCTGCACCGACGAGCCTCAATCCTCCTCGACGGAACTATCGAACGCATGCAAGCCTTCATGCAGACTGTGCGCCACTGAAATCTCGATCGTCGTGCCTGATGCGAACGGCATATTCAGGAACAATTGGTCAAGATCGGTTACAGAAGAATTTGACGCTAGTTCATGCGTCTAATCACATCGTAGTTGTGGAAATGGCATGATTAGATTCACGATACACACTGCTGTAGTTCGGAAGGATGGCGCCGGATGAGCTGGGATTGCTATAGCCACGTGCTGGTCTCCACCATGTCACACCCGCCCACCTTCGCAATTACCTCGGTAGCCCAATCACAGATGACTGCGATATCATTTCCAGGGAACAGCAGCTGCGATAGGATATCTTCCGTGTCATTTCTTACGGAGAGAAGTCGGTTGGCGCCGCGCTGTGGGCTTACGACAAAAGTTTGTTAGTTGGCGTCAGCGCATCGGGCCGTAACCATAAACGTCAACCCAGCCCGACCGCAACCAGATCCTGGGGACCCAAGTGCCGGGACAACAACCTCTTCGGACGCAAACTCAGTGCTGGGTTCAACGGCGAGTCGTCTGATATTTAATCCGTAGTATTCTGGAACACCAAGATGCAGCCATCCGAATCAAGGTACAGATGCAGACAGTGACAGTCGAGGCGAAGCGATGGTAAACGAGATGAAAATATTCAAGGATGTGTTTCAAGGTACTACTTATTCAGCGATGTGCGCCTAGCTCCGTCTTTCTAGAAGGCGCCTCGCCCGGGCAGAGGGTCATTCTTCGCGGGACACGACGCGTCATAGATTTTGGGTTTGACAAACTTGGGCGTCGCGTCGTTGTTGTAGGCCAGCTCGACGAGTGTGGCATTGCCTGTGCGTATGTTAGCAAAGAAGTAGTTGTACCCAGAGAACAAATGACTCTTACCTGAGTTGTACAAAGGCCATCCATATTCAGTCAATCCTTTTTGTGAGTCCCGGGCAAAAGCACCCCAGGCACCCTGGATATATTTCGTGTACTGGTTCTCGGCAGGAGAATTGGGTAGACCAGAGATGTCCTGAGCAGTGCCGAAGACCAAGCCAAGATCGGAGCCATGGTATGCAGCGCTTCCTTGGGAACCAAGACCTGCGCTGCCGTTGTAGAGGCGAAGGTTATCCCAATCACCGTGGTATCTGTATCGCCAGGTAGGCACATCATACTGAGCCCGGTATGCAGCGGACAGAGAGGTTGGACACGTGAAACCGCGCTGAGTGAACAGATCCCATTGTGCATTGGTAAAGTTCAGCTTGGCCGCCCACCCAGAGATGCGATACCAGCCATCTTCATGGTCGGCGTTACCAACCAAGAGTGGAATCTTGGCAAAACAGCCATCGGAAGAGAGTTGTTGGTAATCTTCAAAGACCGTAATGTTGTCCACAGTCGGGTGGAAAGTTGCTTGAGTCAAAGCCACACTTGGGAGACCAGGAACCTTTGCGGAGGCAGCCAGAAGAGCAGACATGTTTGCAGAGCGCACGCAAGACACAACTGCTGCAGCGTCATCTGCAGCGCCGCCACAGCCGATGGTCTGGGACACATTGTACCAGATGGACTGCGAGTACCCGACAGTGTTGGGGACGAAGCTCAGGGAGGTTCCAGACATGGGGATGAGGCCAGAAACGATCGGGTCATTCTTCCAGGCGTAGGCCCAGTAGTCGACGGCAGCACCGCCTGCGCTTTGTCCGAAGATGACAATACGCGATGGGTCGCCTCCGAAACCAGCGATGTTATCGCGCACCCATTCGACAGCGGTACGGTGATCGCGCAGCGCGGCGTTCTTCTCCACACCAGGGGCGCCAGCGAAGCCGAAGATACCTAATCGGTAGCTGGGATTGTCAGTAAACGCATGGATAAAGATGGAGTGAACCCTACTTGAATGTCACAACGACCACATCCTCAGCGTCAGCTAGGTATTGGCCGTTGTAGAAGGGAGAGTGAGGACCAGGAATCTGGAAACCTGGAATGGTCGTTAGGGATATTCTGGCGAATCAAAGGAACAACGTACGTCCTCCGTGAAGAAACACTAGCACTGGCTTCTTCGCGTCCGCATCACCAGCACTTGCCGTCCAGACATTGAGCTTCAGACAATCCTCAGATACAGAGTTGTTGTTCTGGGCTGCAAAGTTCTTCCACACACGCAGACCGGATGGCTGTGTGAAGTTGGGGAAGGCGGACACTGGCGGCTTGACAGCAGGGCAGTCACTAAAGAGTCGTTAGAAGTATCCTCTATGTCTTGTGTTCCTTACGTACGGAGACTATGATTTGTTAGCGATTGTACTCCATGTTGGCGATATTGCGATTACTAACCCACTCAGATGCCTCGAAGACAGTTCCTGCTGGCGCATCGTACTTCTTCGGCGCAGCAAATCTCAACTCGCCGACTGGCGCCTCTGCATATCGGATACCCAGAAACTCGGTCACATGTGTCTTGTTAGACGATGGGTGACCAATCAAGGTACCACTCGATGTCTCAACATTGGAGCCATTCTTCGGCGCTGCAACAGCCGAACCGAATAGCGAGGCTACAGCTGCAGCAGTAAGGAGGAGGTGCTGCATAATTTCAACTCGAAACAACAACAACCTTGCGCTTTAGGGAATAAATTCCAATGCCAGGCGGGCGACCAGCTGACTTTAATGGAGCGAAATTCAAATCGCGGCTCGGCCTGGCAAGCAATTGGCTCCGCGTTCCTGCGTTGCCGTCGACGCCAACCGTGTTCCATAGGGGCAAAATACACTACAACCAGATAAAGCTCCGAGGCAATTGGAAATGTTGCAAACAGCTCCATATTGAGCGCGCGCGGCGTTACACCGGCGCGAAAAGCTTCGACGACGTTTAAGACAGGACGGGTGGCTTCATCTCGCACGGCTGCATCCTTTGACATCTCAAGTTACGCTAGTCCTGATGCGCTGCCGCTCCTTCCCGGTCGCGTGGAACCTTTCGATCTGGCAAACGCCAACATCACCACAACATGTAGCATTCGAATACCTGGGACTGTGACGTCTTCTAATCCGCCACGGCTTTTGCGTGTTCTTACCGAACTTGAACACAGTGGACATGGACAACAAACGCGGTCTGCTTACATCCGGCAGATGTCCGGCTACCGCTGATCTCCATTTGTGATGTCACCCACCCATACCTGTTCAGTACATTACACCGAGGCGATTGGAAGTTTGCCCTGCGTTCACGGCAAACGCCTGGACTCTAGCAAGGAAGAGCTTGCATGCGCACAGAGACCAAGAGATCGGCAGATGTAGTCCCCGAAGATTGGTATACCAGATCCAATCGTATCGGAATGAAACGACGAGAAATTCGCCGTCACTGCATTCCCGTAATGCCCCCACGAAGGAGTTGCCAGCCGCTCCACAGCCCTCACCCTGCGCTACCGTATCTCCAGGGACGGGTACCTGGAAAGCCAAATGCTAGACGAGGCCCATAATACTATCCGTTCCCGCTGTTCATGGATGTTCCATAGGATTTACCTTCCAGAACTCGAGCACCCTCAAGCGACATGACTTTCAACGTCGGCCTTGGAACTGAAGGCTCAGTTGAGCGCGGATGGGGACTTTGGCTCACCAGTGTCCTATCTGTTATTATCGCCGGTCTTTTCGTCAGCGCACGTCTAGCGCAGCGATTCATCAAGAGTAGCGGCCTGGGAATGGACGACTACATGATCATCGCCGCCTTACTTTCATCAGTTTTACTCTCTGTAACAGAGTGTCAAGGTCAGTGGGTCGGCACAAGTTTGGGAAATGGGTATTAACTTTGATCAGCTGTGGTATATGGCTACGGGAGACATTGGAAAGATCTACCTGCCGACTCCCGCGTTATTGCTCGCAAATGGTTCTATGGAGCGAATAGTGAGTTGACATCCATCAAATGCACACATCATCCCAAAAGCATGCGGATCGCTCGGTTTTTCCGGTTTCTGAGATGCTGCGGGGAGGCACTTATTGGAAATGGTGTGAATTTTGACTATGAATCTCACTGACTGTAGCAGTTGTTTACAAAGTCGTTCTCATGTTCAACAAGATCTCTGTGGTTTGCCTGTACTACCGAATCTTCGCCATCACCACAAAGTCTTTCCGTATTGCCTGTCATATCATGAGTAAGTGGCTCGTTTCGGACTACAGATCATTGACTGACTCTACTGAAGACGCTTGGGTCATCATGACCGGTTTTGCTTTTACTATCGCAACGGTTTTCCAATGTACGCCAATCGCCGCATTCTGGGACAAAACCATATCTGGAGCCAGATGTTTCAAGAATGAACCCTGGTGGATTTCCTATGCCACTGTTCAAATTACAACCGACTTCATGCTCCTTGCAATGCCTTTTCGAAGAATCCTAGGACTCTCCATGGGACGAGCCGAGAAGTTGGGTGTGGCACTTGTTTTCGGTACGGGTGGCTTGTAGGTATCTGAGCCTCCATTTAAAGCACCTTGCTGACTTCTCAGTGTCACTTTTGCGTCTATCTATCGTGCAACTACAATCGCCAGGTCCGCAAACGATCCCGATCCGACCTGGGGCCCTGTTCCTGCTACAATATGGTCAGTGATAGAAGCCAACGCTGGTATCATATGTGCCTGTCTCCCCATGCTCCGCGCTCCATTCGTCCGCCTCTTTGGACCACTTTTTGGTTCGGTAGCCACCAAGGCCACCTCGAAGCGGCGGTCGTACCCCATGGACTGGAAGAGCAACCACGGGCCAGCTGGCACTGGAAATAAGAGTAAGGTATCTGGTAAAAGTGCATCTGAGCGCGAAAGCGAAGATGATGCATTGCCACCAAGTAGACCGAGTGAGCTCGGCCGCCGGGGCAGTGGCATCTTTGTCACGAACGAGTTCAGTATTGAGCGCAACGAGTTACAAAAGCAAGAGACAGAGACACGGTCGTGCGAACAAGATGGCGACACTAACACTGCGCTGAGTGTGAACGAGGACAGGCCAGGTGGCAAGAGTCCCTTCTACCACGTCTAAGCAAAAGGACCATATTGCTTCTTCTCGTCCCAGTGCTGTAACATTTCAGCACTAGCTCTGCATGATAAAATATGCAGATTGCCGTCTAGCAGACAAGCTACACCTCTCGCCGACATGCGTATCACGATCTTCAGCGTTTCCATCGGAAGGCGCCTCTCTAGTGTTCTTTCGGTCCTATACCGCATAGCCGCTAGCGAACGAGACGGCCCAATTTGCAGAGGCCAAACCGCCAGCCGCTTGTGTTCTGTCTACATATCGACAGTACGTTCACATACAGCATTGTTCTAGTCGAACAAAACGCAGGTGCTGCGTTGAACTCATCATCTTCCATGCCGATGCTGCGCCGTTGCGAAAAACGCTTTGAACTAGGCGACGCTACGCACGCATACGCAGGTACGGATGGACGCTGAGCGACGTAATCATGGATACTACCGTCCGGGCCGCTTAGTTTGCGTGTCATGCCTTATGGACGATGCATTGCGCTTTAGAACCTATGATGGTCTATCGTCTGTGTCAAACTGCCGCAAGGGGCGTGAGCTTGAAATTCGACTAGAGCAGAGTGCGCCAGGTCACAAGGTATCGTGCACGATACGTGCGAGCAGCGAACGGTTCCAGTAATGCGACGGTCTCTTGTTCAGGACCTTTCAACGAAGGCCGCGAGCCCTGTATTCCGGGTGCAGTACGACGCGACGCATACTGGGGCCCAAATCATTCCTAAATCATCGAGTAGTCTTTATCGCGTCTTTTCTGTTGTGAGAAAATCTAGATAAGTACCCGAGGTGACTACACAATCTAGATCGCGAGCTATGCAGCGAAAGACGGTGAAAATTTTGGCAGCCAAATTTGCGGTCGCACGTTCATTCCCAACAAAGTGACAGGCCGAGCAGTGAGGCATTTGTCTGACCTGGCGTTGGACACGTGTGGCGTCGAAAACAGATGGAATCTGCAGGAAAAGGCGTGGCATACATTGTTGCAGTGCTTGGTTGCGGATACTGGCTTATTTTCACGAATGAAGATGGTGCTAGGAAAGCCAAGTGAGGATAAACGGCTTGCCGATCCTTGCCCCGCTTCCTTTGTGCACGCGGCTGCGCCACAGCTGGATATTGGTCTCTCCCCTCAGACGTCATGCGCACATGCAATGAATATCGACTTGACCTGATCCGTGATGCATCCTGATTTTCCTTCAGCTGGCGCACAAGCTTCTGCAGCGCGACACCCTCATCCGCTCTACCATCGGTACCTTGTTAGCTGGACATCGAAACCTACCCCGCCAACATGACGACGAAAAGTACGACCGACTTCGTCGAATCAACTGACCCAGCCGGAGGGAAGTCCAAGGCCCAGATCCTCACCGACGTCTTCTCTCTCGCGACCCAATTCAGCACCTGTGTTGAGGCTTTCAACCTCATCCATCCCTCAAAAGATCAGGACCATGCGCAAAAGGTTGTGCTTGCGAAACTTGGCCTACAGCAGGGCAGGTTGCTGATCTTTGGCGATGCCGTGGGTATAACTGCGCCACCTGCGACAATTGCACGACACATGATACCCAGCCATCCTGGCATCACAAATCCAGATCCACATGTGCCTGTACACTTTGGCGTCAGAGATTCGAGGCTTGACGAGGAGGTCATCAATGCGAAAGTCCGCAGGGCGCTCCATGAGATTGCGGGACGCCCAAGTAGCATGTCGCGAGACGAACTGATGAATGTTTACGGCTTGAAGAGTCCAAAGACTTTCTCGCGCCTCGAATATCCAGCACTAGACACGAACCGATTAGAAGGCTTCCGCGAGAAGTACACCCTGCTGAAGGATCTCCTAAATCAGACAGGTGCGCGAGCCAGTCTAAAGCGCAACCTCAGCATGACGACCTCCCATTGGACGGTCAAGGACACCACACGCTTCAGCGAGTACGTCAAAGTTGTACGCACCGAAGTCGATGCTCTCATCGATCTCATGGGCGTGAAAGAGCAGGTTGACCGTGGAATTCGTTCCGATCTCAAGAGCATGGGGTGGCACCCAGACCTGACAGGTCCAGCAGTGCGACAGGATTGGGAGAAACTGCGTTTGATTCGCGAAGCCTGTGTAGTCGACTATCCAGAGTACATTGAAGTCATCGACAAAGCCATGCAGTACATCAGCGAAGAAGTCAAAGAATCAAATCTTGCTCGAAATCGCGCTGTGTTAGGCCTCTCAGAACCTAACATGGACGCAGCAGGTGCGCGCCGGAAGTCAGACTACGACATCCGCTCAGCGCCTGCGCCTGCGCCCGTGCCTACACCCACCGCCGGATCCAAACCTTCCAAACCGGAAGCAAAATCTCATATCCAACTTGCCGCTGAACGCGCCCTAAATCCAAATGCAGGCAAAGAAAAGCGCCCAGGCTGGCTCTCGGCCTTCAAATTCAAGTCCTGGTCCAAGAGCAGCAAAACTGCACATGAGAAGCAGCGCTCAAACAGTGTTCCACACACACCAACTGTAGACCCCCAACGCTCCCTCTCCGCAGGCGAAGCACCAAACCAAACCTCAGAAGATTCCAACACTCTCCAGGCCGTGCGGTCCAAGTCGCTCAGCGCAATACCCAGCGATAGCACGCCACAGCCCCCACCATCAAATCTCGACTCTCGCGTCCGCAAGCTCAGCCTTGACCACGGAGACATGGCGAATATTCCTCCCATCCAAGAAAACGGTGGTGAAGTAACTAGTTTCCCTGAAAGAAATGGACTGCCCGATTTCGATGCCGATATGGATAAGAACGCACTAGTGCAGGTTGATACAGCGAAGAGCGAGGGAAGCAAAGATGGGTTGGAGAATATCAAGACGGCAAATAGTTATATCGATCGGCATGATATGTATCCTGCTGTGGGACGAATTGAGACAAAGGACATCAGGAACTTTGCGCATGCGCCGGGATTATAAGGCTGTTTAGTGGGGGTGTTTAGATTGTCTAGCGACTTCAAAGGATAGTTGTGAATTCGAATAGCATAGGTACGCCCACAGGAGAGGGTATTAATATAGTTGTGTTGTAATTTTGTAGCCATTTCGAGGTCAATCTGTATATACTCATTGCGTTTGCAAAGCATGGAGCCTGAGGTATTTGGTTAGTTTTGTGGTTACCACAGTTTCACGATGGGTTGCTTGATATGTCAAAGCTCACTGAGTATCTTCAGAATGTCCAACGAATCCTAAGGTCATGAGCCATTTTGTTATACCTGTTCTACCAAATATGTCCCCTCCATACCCGCATGTGCGATTCGGGACTTGATGTGCACAAAGTTTATTTCGCTGTATTTGGCTGATCATCCTTAAGGACGACGTGATCCCATTGGAAATCCGGAAGCATTCTCAAAGATGCTACAATTTAGTAAACACTCTAATCTCTACGCACTTCTATTTATGCTTTTCGCCATTGCTCAGTTTTCTCATACTCACGGTGAAGGTGACTTCGTGCCTAAATCCTCACCTTCACCTCGAGGTTGGGCCCACCTTGCGATATCCTCTGGCCCACGTCGTCTTTACCGTCCTCTCACACCACCGTCAACTCATTTACCAAAACTCAAGGTAACGACTTTCAAGATTTGTTCTAACGCGATCGCTCTAATTCAGTTTAGATAATTGGGTTTCGGTACGCACCCGCGCAGTTGCAGTTGTTTGCCTCCTACGCCCAGTCGGGTCGCGACAGCAACAACAACAGTACCAAGCCACACCATCGAACGAAGTTTTCCCAGCCAGAGCTACGCTTTAGATACCACTGGCGATTACGACTATGCCGCCCAAGGGACTCTACCGAATCCCAAAACATCATGTCGTTGGCCAAGGCACCTCAATGAAGCGTCAATCTTTCAACAGCATGGACTTCAAAGAGGCGGAGAAGCCGGCGCCCGTTACGACGAACGACAGCACGACAGACGATTTTGTCAACAATGAAAGGGCTCAGCGAAAGCGCGAGAAGCGTGAGAGGAAAGAAGCCAGGAAACTGAAGAAGGAAGCCAAGGCAGCTATGGCTGCTGCGGAAACAGGAAAGCTGAAAGAGAAGCAGAACACCCCGCCAATCGACGCGACACCCGCCGCCACACCCGTCAAGAATGGCAGGTACGGTCCATGTGGTCCTTATAAGAAGAGAGAGAAAGGCCCGGACGGAACTCCAGTTTCTGCTGCGAAGAAGCGGAAGAGAGAGACCGAGGTGCCTGTTGACAGTCCAGCTGTCACTGGCAAAGGTCTCGCTGACGCCGACAATTGGCTCGGCCCCAACTTTAAGAAGAACATGGAAGACAATAAGAAGTCCCTTGCTCGCCTCGCCTCTATCTTCGACCAGCGGATCAATGAGAACGCTAAACTTACTGAGTCGCCCAGAAATAAGCCAGGAAGACCAGTGGGTTCGGGCAAGAAGACCGTTGCTAAGACTATTGAGACTGAGATACCGAAGGCCAGCGATACTACGAAGAAGGCCATCAAGTCTGACGAGATCAAGCCCAAGGCCAAGAGGCAGAAGCTGGAGAAAACACCTGTGGCTTCCAACGAGGAAAATGTGTCCAAGGTCAGCAAGACACCAATACCAGTTCCGTCGGTCGCATCAGCCCTGCCTACCGAGCCGAAGAGCACACCAGTTCCACTTCCTCAGAAGTCTCTTGGTGCTTTGACGCGCAGTGTGAGCGAGTCACCGATAAAGAAGAACAAGATAGACCTTCGAGAGTCTGAAGTCCTTGTCAGCGAGACCCCTCTCTCACAAATGAGCCGTACACCTGCAACCACTCCTCGCGTACAAGCAATCCCGTTTAGTCTCAGACCCGCAGTTACCACGTCCAAGGAAACCAGCAAAGCTCCTGGCACCCTTGAGTCTTCTCCCGAAATTCCCCTCATGATTTACACCAAATCCCCAGAGGCCCGAAAGCGCATTGTTGGCAGCCAAGGTTCCGTGAACCCGCTCACCAATAGTCAGGTCGACAGTCTTACCACTGCGAACCTCATGCGGTTCAAAGAACCTCTCAGAGACACTCCGAAGCCGCGTCCTCGAGGCCGTCGTTCCGTTAGCGAGGCACCTAGCACTTCTTCTAGCAGCTCCTCCACCACATCAAGGACCATTCGCGACATGTTAATGCGTCCAAATAAACCATACACACGTCCCAGCAACGAGATCTCTCCCTTCAACAACAAGAAGAAGCACATTGAAAGGCATGACGAAGCCAATCTTGCCACTTTCTCTAGCACATTCACGGCTTCCCGCCGAACCGTCAATTTTACCGATGAGGCAGCATACCTTGACGAGTACGACGAGTGGCTCTCCGACAGCGAAGCAGCAGGTACCCTCCCTTGCTTGAAACAAGCCTCAGGATGCACGGCCAAATCCGAGCAACTGCTCCAGCTCCAACGTTCGGACGACACCTCAGCATTCAAAGTGATCATCACAAATGAAACCGAAACTGAGAATACGGCGTCTGACATTGCGCGCGTTAAAGCCGCGTCCACCTTCCTGCGCTACAGCATCCTGACACGCATCCCCATACCGCTGGGCTCCATCGAAGGAACGTTTAAGCTCTACTGCCCCAAGTACACCACTACCCATGTCGACAAGTACGGGTTCGGTCAACGCACTTTGAACGTCACCTCCATCGCCGGTCTAAATCCCATGTCGGGAGCCTATACAGCGCGTCTCTCTATTCCACCTCGCTCCATGCCGTACCCGATCCAAGCGTTCGAAGCCTCACCCCACGCTTCGTTCCGCACCATCACGCTCAAGACAGTTGCTGAGCGGTATAGAATGGACGTCATGTTCTTGGGTAATGGTTACTTGAAGCTGAGAGTTGATTTGCATCTGATTCTCAATGGCAAGTCGGCTGGAGAGATGAAGGCGGGAAAGGGAAAGAGCAAGGAGGGGAAGACAAAGGCCGGAGTGGGCATCTGGGAGTTTTTGGGAGTGAATGAGAAGGCGGTTGTCTGGGAACCGACGGTTGATGAGTTGGAAAAGGAGGGAAGGAAGTTGGTTGCCAAGTATGAAGGTCGTTAATGTGGAAGTATGGAGTCGTGAAGTGGTTGGCGTGAGTTCATGGTTGGTCGGTGTAGGAAATGAGAAAGGTTATCTGGAATGTGGGCTACCGGCGGGCAGAGGTAGAGTCGGCGAGATGTTTGCATTGATGGGACCTCGGGTATGGCTTGGGCTTGCCTGGCGGAATCTATTCAAGTTTGACTAGAGCTTCGCAGATGTTGCCTAGGTTTGTCACGTTACCATCGCATCCATATGGATACTGAGTGTCGCCTCGGTGCCCTCATATACTAGTCCTGTTAGTTTACGACTGGATACAGTAAATAGGCGAGATGATTTGCCACGGAGATTGGAGAGCCGCATCCGTGTTCCGATAACGGTCTGAACATCGCCACTTTACCCCAGCTCTTGCACCTACAACACTCTCGAAATACATGCAGTACCCACATATACTCATTCGGCTGTGGCGTGACTGTTGCTCTATTCATGTTGTTTACATCTACATCTACCACTTGTCTTTGAACAAAGCAAAAACTCCTAATCTCATGCAAAAGGTATCAAAACACTCCTCTCCTCGCTGCTTCTTTGACTCCTTGCTGTCCCACCTCTTGCTTCTATATGCAAAGTGATCATGATATGCGTTCTTTGACTAGATCGGATCGGAGATGTGGGCGTCCGTCAGCGCGTTTCAGCGAGCGAGAGGGAGAAGAAGAGGAAGAGAACATCTAGTCCTTCTTCGCCCTGCCGTTCTGTTGTTCAGCGAGCTCCAACTTCTCGTTACCCTTTTGGATGAAGAATTTGCGTTCGAGGAACTTGAGGCCCTCGTCAATGATGCTGAAAACATGTTAGCGATTGCTCATTCTGTAGCCTTTGGCACAAGGCGTGAAATGTGACTTACATGATTGGCGCGCTGATCGCCATGACCGCTTTCCACTCGTTGCCGTCCAGCGGGATGACGCTGAACAGCCCTTGCAAGAATGGGACGTAGAGAAGTGCAAAGTGCAAAGCCATACTCAAACAAATGGCATAAACAAGGATCATGTTCTCCCAAAGCGGTAATGTAAGCAGACTCTCTGAGCTGCTCAACGCGTTCATGGCATTGAGCATCTCGATGACGACCAAAATGCTCAGACTAACAGTAGAGGCAGCTTGGGCAGACGAGTTGCTGAACATCTCACAACCAATCTCAGGGAACTGGGTCGAGCAGCGGTGGAAGTGGCGGAGCTGGTAGAAGGAGATCTGGGGCCCATCGCTATTGAACATGAACCACCACGCGTAGCCACCGACAGTCGCAGCGCCGACATAGGTACCAATAACCATGTAGCGGAAGAACAACCAGCCACTGATGAGAGGCTCGTCGCGCTTGCGGGGTTGGCGCTTCATTACATCATGGTCTGGAGGGTTGAAAGAGAGAGCGGTAGCGGGGAGACCATCGGTGACGAGATTGACCCAGAGGAGTTGAACAGGGATCAGAGCCTCAGGCATACCCATAGCGGCAGTCAGGAAGATAGAGACGACTTCTCCGATGTTGGAAGAGATGAGGTAGCGGATGAACTGTTGAGTGTTGTTGTAGATGGAACGACCTTCTTCAACGGCACCTTCGATGGTGGCAAAGTTGTCGTCTACAAGCACCATGTCCGCGGCGAGCTTGGCTACATCGGTTCCGGACCCCATAGCAACACCAATATCAGCTTTCTTGAGAGCAGGCGCGTCGTTGACACCGTCACCAGTCATAGCAACAACCTCACCGGCTTGTTGGAGAAGGTCGACGAGTTTGGATTTGTGTGTTGGCTCAGTGCGGGAGAAGAGGCTGGCGTGCTTGGCGGCTTCCATCTTCTCGGACTCGGAAAGGTCGTCGAATTGGCGACCTGTGAAAGACTTGCCAGTGAGATCTTCATTGGGGCCAAAGACACCGATTTGACGGCAGATGGACTCGGCA